AAATCGTACTTTACGAGTATAAATATGTTGAAGATACCGTTACCTTGGTCACAATGTTTTCCAGTAAATCCAGGTAGACACTGACAAGTGTAACTTCCTTTGCTGTTGACACATGTTGCACCATTTTGACATGGGTTTTTCAAGGAACACTCATCGATATCTAGATATAGTCAGATTAAAAAAAAACCTTCATAAATCCAGGTATAGACAGCTACAGTTATATCCACCATCGTTATTGACACACGTTGCACCATTTTGACACGGGCTTTTTAAACACTCGTCGATATCTATAATTTGAACCTCACAACTCAATAGGAAAGTTCGCACAGGATCATACAAACTCCTTTCCCTACTGGTTTGTTGTAGAAGGACTCCTTCCGAAACTGACTTCTCATTAAGATATTGATTATTGTAAAAGGCAAGAATTAGTTTAAATAACAGAACAAGGAATTCATAGTTTGAAGTACCTTTTTCGCAATTTTGACCATTGAATCCCGGATGACAGAAACACTTGTAACCTCCAACATTATTTTGACATGTTCCACCGTTTTGACAAGGTTGACTTTGACACTCATCTATATCTATTGACAATATGAACATTAAGTGCTTGATCGTACTTTGCTCTGATCAAAGCTGTCTTAGTCTATATTGTCAGRACCAAGAGGCGGACTGAGTGATATGATATTGACTATGATAATCATCCAAACGATTCRAATAATGACACAAAAACAGCATATGATTTACCAGTTTCACAATCTTTTCCCAAKATACCAATGGGGCAATAGCAAGTGTATCCTCCTGGTTTGTTGCTACAAGTTCCTCCATTTTGACACGGCTTTTTGATGCATTCATTGACATCTACATAAATAAGGACAAGGATCAAAAGTAAACCTCCCTAAATTCAAATCTGATTGCTGACTGGCGGTTCATTACCAATATCGCAATGTTTGCCTTGAAATTCTGCAGTACATTTACATCGATAGCCGCCAAAATTGTTGATACATGTAGCTCCATTTCTGCACGGATTCCTTGAGCATTCATCAACGTCTGGAAAGGAAATATAATTGCATCAAAGTACAGTTTAAATAATCATGGWCTCTCTGTATTCTATCTATGAGGTAATCCATTATCATTCACTAGCCGCACTTTTTTGACTGGAAAAAGCTTACCTAATTCACAGTTCGTTCCAGTGAATCCAGGTTTGCACAAACATGTGTAGCCTCCTGGACTACTGATACACACTGCACCATTTTGACATGGTTTGGTTATAACACACAAGTCTGGACCTGACAAAGAAACCCTAAGTTTGCGGTTTATTGCAGTAATGAAGGAAATTATAATCCTTACAATGCAATATGCAGTTGCTATTCAATGAATAGGGGACGTTTTGTGGATAGTCTTGCAATATCAAGGTTTTTCTTATAGTGATTTATCGATTGATACTTACCACCAGTCGGTACAGGCGGCTTGGTRGTTGGAGCTAAAACAGACAGGTCATAAGTGAACCAGCCATGTAACAAAGTTGCAACAGTTTAATTTACTGACTAATACATATATACCGTTAGCCGCGTGACGTAGCTGCGTGACGTAGCTGCGTGACCTAGCTGCGTGACCTACCTGGTCCTCCATTTCCACAGTAACGCAAATAACAATAGTTCTGTTTGATGAGCTCGTATACGTAAAAACCACCACAATTCCTTACACGTATGTTGTTGTACCAATGACAACAATTACCAATCCAGTTATAGCACACCCTTCGTGTAACGACACCGTCTCCTTGCCTGGGATGAGAGCCTCGCATCCASCCAGGGGAGTGGGTACCACAATGATGGTCTGGTACACATGACGTTGCTATCTGAGTTCCAGCGTCACCCRTAAAACGATACCATCTCTACAAACAATTTTATTAACAGTACGTAAGATATTGCAACGTCCTTACTTCTGGACATGACATTGTATGTAATGGCAGATATTCATAGAGATAACCTGTTTCCAGTAATGTAGTAGTTTTCATACCGTAATGTGGGTTTATGTGGAGGGGTTACGTTACCTGGACAAAGGGGTTACTTTAAGTGGACAAAACAGATAGCGGTTTCCCGTATTCAGGATTTTTTTGGCGGTGTTAGGACCGGAGACAAGTCATCTAAATGAACAGAAATATCACACGTACCTTGGTGAGGTCATGTTTGTCGCATTTTGTTAGATTTCCTCTATGCTCCCCTTGGGCTCGATCTCTCGATGATAACACAGTGTAAGTGCGACATTCTGTGAAATAACATATTGCTATTATTGCAGGTATTATATTACATTGTTACTACATTATTTGTAGTATTCCTCTCACATTTTCATGTTATTACTACAATATATTATTCACCGTTTGGATAGTTTCCTGGATTTTTCGTGGTAATCGCTGGTTTTATTGTCGGTGCTAAAGAAAAGAGTACCATCCATCACTGGAACATGTTAAGCAATGTAATTAACAAATGCAGAACTATTCCAGTGTTACCTTGACCATTCCCACAATATCGCAGGTGACATTGTGGGGTCCTGAYCAGTTCATACACGTAAAACCCTCCGCAATTTCTAATACGAATATTGTTATTCCAGAAACAGCAGTTGTTATTCCAGCTGAAACAGACTTTRCGAGTAACAATTCCATGTRATTTCTTAGGATGAGACCCGTCTAGCCATCCTGGAGCATGGGTTCCACAATGGTTCTTTGATACACAATTAGTTGGCATGGCTGAGCCGGCAGCACCAGTAAAGCGGTACCACTTTTTAGAGATGTCATTCTTGTCGCATTTGATAGGCTGGGYCACGTGATAACTCGGAGCACGATCTGCATCACTGAGCGCTGTATATGATTGGCATTCTACGAAACATAATGGGTCTAATTAATGGCTCGTTGTTTGTTGATGTGTACCTGTATAACGAAACCTAAGAATTGTAGTGTAATTTTCCACAGACAATAAATATGTTTTAGGTCTGTTTAGCAGARAGCGCCTTACCTATAGGGACTGGGAGAGAGGTTGTAGGAGGTTTTGTTTGRGGCYTTGTAGGTGCTGGTGTACCTGCAGATTTAACAAAGTCGACATCTTGCTGTTCATCATCATTTTCATCTCTTATAAATGKTGAAATAAAGCAGCATACCTTGGCCAGCGTTTCCACAGTAACGAAGGTTGCAGTGAGGTGGTTTGACAAGTCGATATACAAAGAACTTWCCACAGTTTCGTACGCGAATCTTATTTTGAAACTTACAACAATCGCCTTGCCAATGATAACATACTCTACGATTGACCACGCCCTGGGACTTAGAAGGAAGCGGTCCCTTAAGCCAACCAGGAGAATGGGYTCCACAGTGCCTTTCTGGTACACAGCTTGTTGACATGGCTGAGCCTGCGGCACCAGTAAAGCGGTACCATAGATTGTTGGTGATGTCAKACTTGTCACAACTGATGACGCGACCTAATGGAAAACCCGCTGACCGATCCACTGAGTCGAGTTTTATGTGGAGGACACATTCTACAGATGACAAAATATAAGTTAATATTTTAATGTAYATATATTATGCAAGATAGACTCACCTAGGCTTCCAAATGCATTGAAAGGAAAAAGGCTTAGAACTCTGTACAATGAAAAAAAACACTGTCAAACATTTTAATCTTAGCCGGATAAAAAAGGGGGGAGGGGTGGGGGTTCTACTTACAGTATCGTCRTGACTGACACYTCTACTCCCAGCCACGACATARCGATGATTCAAATCCACTGATTCTACAAAAGGGAAAACACAAACGTTAATCGCTACTATGGCAACTGGAAATTAGCAACAGCTAACATGGCAACTAGCAATTGGCAACATCTACCATAGCAACTATGGTTAATTTGGCATTTCTAGCATCGACAATCAAGTTATGTTTACTTTGATTGTTCAGRATTAATTAACAACAATAGAATTGGAACATCCAAACRTCGACTGTCGCTTGTAAAAAAAAGTAACAACGCAACATAAGTAACAACAAATTTTGAAATACACTAAAGAGAAATATATTTGTAAAAACTAAGTAGAAAGTAGAAACCAATTGATCGTGTGTAACCGAGTATATCATCGCTTGTACATAATCGCAGTTGAGCAACCATACAGGAAGCTGTTTGGTGGCTTTGTCCTGGTCCCGTTTTTCATTTTCTTGCACTCACTTCAATTCCTTTCCTTTCTTTTTCTTTATTTTCTTTTTTGTTTTATTTTGTTTTGGGTTTCTGATTTCCGATTGGAAAACAAAGAGCTGAATTAAAAAATGTGAAAAGAGAGACTAACAACAAGATATTATAATAAGAAAAAAGGAAAGAAAACGGATATTTTTAACGGGCGCATGTACGATGTTTCTATCCTCTCTGACGTACTACATGTACATTGGATGTAGTTTCACCGTTAGCAAATGACACAAAAAAGACCTTGCTCACCTGTGTGTGTGTTCTTGYAGTAGTGGTTAACTCACTGTGATATCTGGATGTTATGTATTTGGTTGTTTGACCAGCAATGCGATGTTGGATGAAATCATTGGTTGCGAATTACGACTCCTCTTTTATATTTGCACAGCTTTTATCTTTCATTTTCATGCTCAGCTCAAGTAAATTTGTAAAGAAAACAAACTATGATCACAGTAAATAATACATAGACTGAATAATCGTAAGTAAATATAAAAAATATTAGGTTTTGATGAGAGTTGTACTGATTGACTTGGTGACCAAAACTATAACCGGATGAAAAAGAAACTTAACTAGCAATACAAGTGAAGACTGTTTATAATCCAGGTTTTGAAAACTGACAAGGTGTAACTGACCATTACGTAGTTTATCTGTAATATTGACCAAGCTTTTTGCACAATTAAATCATGTTTACTAACTTTGTGTTCTTGAAAAACCATTGTCACTAGAATCAGTAGATAAAACTCTCTTCAATGTTCTTCTAAACAAAGATTGGTTTGAGAATGTCTCAACTTGAAGAAGGAAGGAAGTTTCACAGTCGTAGAATTGTTTAAAATACTGACTTTCTTCCTTGTTAATTTAMCAATCAGTATGTCACTCTGAATGGTTGTCAATACCTTACTACCTAACAATCCAACTAAATGYACCACTAAAAATATCAACCAACTAACTAACAGTAAACCAAGACAGGAAACTAGTAGGACAATAAATTGAGCAATTAAATCAAAATCATTCAACTCTGTGGCGGATCGAGGTTATCAAGGAGGGGTGATGGCACCGATCAGGGGGGGGCATACTCCATAAAAAGTATCAAAAAGGAAGCACATGATAAGAAAAAATTATTGAAGGATACGTGGCCCCGGAGTGGGGAAGAGGCGTGGTTTGTGCTCGTACCATCAGAACGTAGAACAACTGACAGGATCAATACTTTGATGTCATTCTTCTGTGTTTTTGTTTCGGTTTGAACTTTCTAAGTCATGCATATTTGAATTTAAAAACTCAGTGATAGCGGCAAAGAGTTGTTCCTATATTCAACGTCTCTCCTGTACAAAAGGCAAAAGTTTCTTGTCAACTAGTATGGTCATTAGATATATTGTTAKTTAAGGAACATGCCGATTTATTCGGTTCTTGATAGAATGCTACCCAGTATCCTGACTGCTCTATACTCGGTGATCAACAGCGCCGTGTGTATGATGAACGCGGTTAAAAACAGTGTGAAATCATATGAATGACATAATCGAAGCCACAGCTAATTAGACGTGCGTTGTACGTCTTGGCTCTATACATTACATACTGGATAATCTAATCAAGCTGTCTTGATCGTTTGGTGATTTTTCTCGCCCCGTTAGACTGAATGAATCGGGGAAGTCATCGCCTCTAGGATGACACTTACAGTAAGTATAGAGAATGTTATCTTGTTCTTTTACAGAATGTTTTTAACTATTACCAAGGAATGAGATTGAAATATGGCTTATCCAAAGTATTSCTTCTATWTAGGCTTTATAAGTRAGCGATTTGTTTTTACTCAGAAAAATCGATGGAAGCACACGGCAATTATTTTAAGATGTCATTGATTTGGAGCAAAATTCGTTCTTTTTTCGCAATATTGTTGTCCGTTTTATTACAAGAGATTATGCAAAGCTCTTTCACGCTGATATCAATTAGTTTTTTTTTAATTTAAAATACTATTTTAATCAGAACTTGTTATCCTCGCAACACCAGTCCATTTTATTTGGATCTTTGCTGTTGCTTTACTTCATTCTAATGCTGCATAATGCGGTCATTTCCTTGGTAAAATGCGTACTAACCGACAATGGCAATAGAGAAACGGATGTAAAGCGAGAGAAAAGGCTAACCAACTACTTTGAACGAAGTATAAACAATAATAAGTAATCTGCATAGCGAGCGAAATGAGTTCAAAATGAATCATCTGCGGTTACTTTTTCATGTGGAACCATGGCGACAGTGAAAGGTAGGAACAAATATACACATATTTAACAGATAAAAATTCAATCTACGAAACGGAAAATGATTGTATTCGCAGGTCTAACCATACAGATAATAAAATAATCATCTAAATAAGGTGCAACCACACATAGATAAAAAAATAATCAATTTGRAGACCTAATATATTTAAATCAATGCACAATTAACACCGCGGTAAAGCCAAACATATTGTGTATCGAAGTCGAATACTCTCAAAGCTCATTGACAATTACAATGATTGTCTGTCAAATATACCAGAATATATATTTATACCCCTAATCTAAAAGATTGTAAACGTGAAAACGGTTAAGCAGAAAGCCCTCGGTATTATGTGGTTTTTAAATAACCATATGTTTACAAAATCAAAGCGGGTTGCTACTGATTGTCGTATAAAATAAGATTTTTTCATGAGATTCTTAGTTCAAAAAGAAAAAAGACATTTCAATCACTCAATTTCTGAAGCGTGTACCATCTATCTATTATTCAAATTGCTGTTTTTCACAGTGATTGGAGTAGAAGACTTATTCTAAAAAATATACAAAAAAATGTTATATAGCATATATTATGATTGCGGTCGGTAAAATAGGACTAGACTGGGTTACCTATTAAGTAATTATTCTATCATTAGACAATATGTGAACCAGTATGGACTGTGCTCACTCACTATGCTACTGAAACTATATTCACAAATTATTCATGGTTTTTTCAAGAATAAGTCTCTTTTCAGACTCTTTAAATTACACCCACCCACAATAGGACTTCACGATTCATTCTTGTCAATAATTAATGACGAGCAAATAATACTAACAAAACAAATCAACCTAATCGACGACCTACTTGAATAGACACAAAGTGACTTTAGCCTCAACAGAAGTGATTGTCGACGGCGACAATTGTTATCAAGTCTCCGTATTCGTATATATCTATCCTACAATTCTTGTACTAYGAAGTAAGCTTATCACGTTATAGGTATGTATTAGTTGTGAAACCTGTTTTTTTGTTGTTGCTAATCGTCAATAGTGTATGATAAGAACAAGGTCCCACCTAAGTCATTCCATCGAAATGCCTTATTTCAAACTATACTGTGGTTTTGTATGAGCTATTTTTTTATATGTATTCAAGAAAGAAGAGAAGAGATAATGCAAAACTTTCTGTGCAATAATTTCTAAAAACTGAAAGTCTTGCGTAGTGTAGAGACTTGATAGTATCATGCTGACAGCCTGATGTATTCACACTCCATATGATATATAACGTTCCAACTACTTCATTCCACTTGAAATGCTTACAAAAAAAAAACAAAATTTACGTGTAATGCCCGTGTCYGTATAATCGTCCGTATCGCGTTGTTTTTATTCATGGTTGTCATAAATCTCTCAGGGAAACTATGTCATGGCGCGTTTTGRCGATCATATGGCCACTAGGTCTATATAAACAAAAAGAAACTTAAACAATTTGATGATGAAAAAAGTCATCAGTTTAGGTGAATTTGAGATGGTATTGATTTTGTATTTCAACTGGTAGAAATGGTGAAGACTGACAATTATTAAATAGCAACCATGATGATTAGGAAGTGTTTAGTTACACTCTGATAATACTAATAAACCATCACTAGACGAATCAAATCAACAGGCAACAGTATGACACAAAGTGCAGTGTTGTTAGGATCTTTCACGTCGTGAAAAGCCTTGAGAAAGGCAATGCAAAGGGAGGACTAGAGTCACCTCTTCACCGCACTTGTGTTTTAGATGTGAATCATGTTAGTGATATCATACCGGTCACTTGACAGTCTTTTACTCTATTAAAAGAATAGTGTAATAAATAGTATTCATTTATAATTTAAAATTTTGTCATAAATTGTACAAATGTACACTTTGCATTCTTTTGGAATATGTTTATTTTGCCTTTGAATAACTAGCTTTCCCATGGATGATACTGGTTTCTCTCTACTTGTACTAGTACTACGATCTCTATTAGAATGCACGTACAGAATATTTCCAAAGCTCATAAATGTTTCGTAATGTTCCTTCATACAAAATGATTCGTTGAGCATCAAAGCGTACCGCCATGCGCAGGTATGTTTCGCCGACTTTAGATGTGAACACACACCAGCTTTGCTTTTATTCCCAGTATTTACAAAACCATTGTACTCCTATAAACATCAATTATTGTTTTTGAAATGACGACGTTTTTAACGTTTTCTTCTTCTAAAATCAAATATTCTATTTGCAGCATCTAAAACATAATATGACCAAATCTAAAACAGCAATTCTTTATCAATCAAGAGCATATTTTATTGGCGGAGCAATTAGCATACCATGAAATTCTATTATTGTTAGCTCGCGATTATTATGAGAAGTAACAGGGCAATCAACTCACACTACGTCTGATAACTCGTTTATAACCCTATCTGTATTTAGAGTATTAGCGTATCGCTCTAAGAAGAGTCTACTCTTCACAAATCGATATGCTTCTTAACCTTGTATTACAGAACTCATGTATGCGGTGTCGGCTTATCAACTAAAAACAGCTTAGCTGAGTTTGTGAATGTAAAACTGTTTCAGTCTTCCTAGTAAAACTCGACAATAGATCTGGACATTTTTTTTTATATTTCGTTTCAGAAACCTTCCAATATTATTGCGAAGAGAACTAAAAACTAAAGCTGGTTTATTCCGACATGGATAAACTATGGATATTTTTGATGGTACTTACTAGTACGTTTACAGTGTCAACCCAAATCGAATGTTCTTGGGATAGATCGACAGTACGAATTCTTGTCATACTCGACCAGGAACTGTATGGTAACTCGTTGATTTCAGATTTCAAGACAGCCACATCATCTGAATCAATGAATAGATTGTTCGATAGCTCTGAAGCTTGTGTTCCAACGGTCAAATTTGATTACCTCAGAATAAACGAAACTTCTGATGAGATGGCAACAATACAGAATACTTATAATAAACTTACCAGGAATTCATTTTGCATTGTTATATTGGCGTCTAATTCCAGGAAGACATGGTATGCAATGGAGTATATTAAGTCACAGCAAATACCAGTCATTAGTATCGTTCCTAAGGTGAGTCTTTTATTACTTACAGAGTCTAAGATCAAATTATGAATACGCATTTGTGTATTTCTCGCGTTATGAAAACCATTCTATTTATCAGTTTTTACTTTTATACATCATTTACTACATGTCATTTGTCTACAGCCTATAAACCGAGGTTCAGCGTGGAAAGGATTTCCTGTACTTTATCTTAATACCCATGAAAGTATCTACGATAGAACATACTCCATTGCTCCAGTCCTGAAAGAACTCTACTTTAAGAAAATAGTAGTGATCTACGACAATAGTATCGAAAATATGCTCGCCACGACCTATTTTGAAAGAAGTCTTGCATATCATAACATTCTTATGCTATACGCAATGCTTATCACCAAAGACACGAGTATTGATAGTCTCGCGTTAAAACTTGAATCATTTAAAAGTGTTAGTTCAGCCTTTGTTGTTCTCAGTGGTCAGACAAGTATACTAGACATACTATTCGATGCTGCATTCAAGGCAGACATGCTGGGGGAATCGTTCTCATGGGTGGTATTCTCAGATAAAAATGATGATTATTCACCATTATTCAGCCTTAAACGTTCAATAATGTTCGTTAACCCAAGACGTCATCAGTGGAGTCCACGTGATCTCATCAATGATGCAATATTCTTGTCGACAAGAGGATTAGACAATATCGCCAAATCACTTGAAAAACAAGAATGCTCCTGTCGCTGTGAATGTCAGCCATTTACCAACCAGCTCTACAGGTATGATATGTAAGACGTGTATTTCCCTAGAGATCGAGAGAGAATGGTTATGACACAAAATTCCGCTTTGACCCGTTCCCCGCCGAGTTCTATAGGTGGACAATCTAAATCTGTTTCWTATTTTCACTCAGGTGCCTTTTGGAAGTGCAATTTGCAGGAGAAAGTGGGCTAGTTGTGTTTGACGATGAAGGTGAACGTAAATACACCACATACGACATCAGCATCATGGAAGAAGACCAAATGGGTCGATATTACCGCGGCTTTATTGGTAAATGGGATGGAATGAGAGTRACAATCAATGACCATAAACCATTACCAAAACTGCGTGCACTTATCAACGAATATCCGCCGAACATCATGTCATTACCTAAATTAGAGGTACAATGATTTAAATAAACATAGCTAGTTAAACATGATATAAAAAATAATGCAATGTAATATTCTTTTATATTAAAGCATAAACCATGTCCTCGAGGGGCAGAGATATGTAGAAAGAACATCACATTACCCAATGGAGACGTCCAGCAAAAAGAACTGTGYTGCTACGGCTTTGCTATCGACGTCCTTAGACTAGTACGAGAAGAAGTGTCTCTTGGTTTTGATGCTGATTTAAGGTTTAGTGATGATGGTCAATATGGAGTTTATAACACAGAGAACGATTCTTGGAATGGAATTGTTGCCGATCTATTGGAAGATAAAGGTGATGTTACTTTGGACTTGTATGTGAGCGCAAGAAGAGCGAAAGTACTGGACTTCACGGAGCCGTACGCACCTTCAGGGATTCATCTTCTCGTCAAAGARCACAGTAAGAGAGGAGATAATCAAATCTATTGGCTGTCTTATCTTAGACCATTTACAACAAGTGTATGGTTGACACTTCTTGGCTCAGTTGGAATAATGATTGTCTTCCTATGGCTCGTGGAAAAACTTGCACCAAATCGACTTGCCCCTAAAGAACTCAATGACCTCCCGGACGACAACGGTRTGAATGAAGACGAATATCAAACATTCATAGAAAGAGAAAGGGTTCGAGGTTTTGAAACGTTCCCTCAAGAAAAACAAGAGGCGGAAGAAGAGGAATCTTGTGAAGAGAAGCCCAAGCGAATTCAATATGGCCCTTTTGGTCTTGATAATGCTGTTTGTTTTACTCTTGCATTAGCGTTTGGTAGACCAGCCGATGAAGCAAAACCTTTGCTGAATGGTGCAAGACTTGCTTCAGTTGCCTTTGGTGTCGCAATGTTGATGTTGGTWTCAAGCTACTCAGCCAACCTTGCAGCGTTCTTAATAGTCGATGATAAATTCGTATCTGTGGAAAGCATCTACGATGAAAAGGTTTCCYTATTATTGTTGTATTTACACCATGTAATTCTCTCGGTTATCCAACAAGGGATTTCATAGAATTCAGGTTGCTCTAGTGCATGTTGTCCGATCCTGGCCTCTTCGAAGGGTAGCCTCGGCGATCCCTAGAGCGCCGGGGTTGAAAGGAGGCCATGTGTAGGCTGTGTAACTTGGGCCTAGCAACCTCTTATCTGGGACACATTTGATTCTTTTTTAATTCAGAGTTGCGATATTTTATTATTCAAACCAATTTTCCTCATGTTTGTCCCTATTTATTATAGCCATCCTTCGTCCTTCATACTATTCCTTAAACTCAATCAGTATTYATAATTCCAGTTCAAATTMCTGTTTGTAGATTGCACATCCACCWCCAGGTTTTCGGTATGGAACCATAACTGGTTCGTACATGGCTGAYTTCTTTGTTAACTCTAAGAATGCCTACTTGAGATCGATGTGGTATAACATGAAGGATAATAACGTGGAGAGCATCAGAGAAGGCGTCAATAAAGTTAAATCAGGGTAATTTTAATTATGAGAAACAAGTGTAGAAATGTCTTTTTGTTAGCTAGTGCAGCGGTGAGATCCTGAGCTTTTAGTTATTTATTTATTGTCTTTCCACAGAGAACTTGATGTATTTATTGCCGATCAGTTAAGTCTGGCTTATGAATCTTTAAACGATCCAAGTTGTCGACTTAAGGTTGTTGGCAATCCATTTGCAATGTCAGGTGCAGCCATTGCGGTCAAGAAAGGCTCGCCATGGTTCGCACAGTTCAATGAAGCACTCCAGAAGCTGAAATCAAAAGGACTTACAGACTTCATACAAAAGTTTTGGGTCAAGAAATATAAATGCATCCATGAGAAACCTCCAACTCAGCTCAAGATACAAGACTTGAGTGGWTTGTTTTTACAACTTGCTATTGCTGTCGTAGCGTGTTTTTTTTCTACAGTTTTACATCGTACTCTCAGAGTWTTTGCCTCTAATTATAAAATACAAAGAAAGAGAAGCAAATCACTTGCCACAAGTCCTAAACTTCACAGACTTGTTAAGAGCTTAGAAACTAACGTGTAACAGTATAACAAATAATTGATAGCTACACAGTCATAGAATGATGGATACCAATCAATAATTGATGGATATCATATCAACAAACATCATAAATTGATGGATACGTACATTGGATTGCTGGACAGTCCCTCTGAGACTTGTTTAATAGTTAAAACGTGTTCAAAGGCAACAATTATAGATCATAGTTATGMCACTATACTAGAATTTATATGCATAGAATTTTCATTATAAAACGCTCCAAAGCCGTCAGTTCTGATAAGCAAATCTATTTTCTTTTACATCTAAAAGTTTCTCTCGTTTACAAATTACGTGTTTATTCACAAGTATTGGATGTTTCCATGTTGATATAAACGGTGRAGAAATTTATTGTCTCATTCAATGAACTGTAATAAAGTTGTATTGTGCCAGTCAATAAAAGCTTAGCTATAATGCTTTATACAACTTTTCAGTAAAATCAGACGTTTGGATTGGTTGGCTTTCGTGTGTTATCAAAGTATAGATACACGGATTACGTCAAAACTAATTGTTTGTTGTATAAAACAAATAGATCTCATTTTTCCGTGTGTGTGTGCTTTAATAGGTACACAGATGACGTCAAAATGTAGTGAGAACAACAGTCACGCACTCGACTGCGTCTCGTGCGTACTTTTTTGTTCTCACTACATTTTGACGTCATCTGTGTATCTATTAGAGTACACACGCACGGAAAAATGAGATCTATTTGTTAAGTATTTCGTTCGCTATTGAGACATGACMTAATGGTGGTTCAAGAGTATACTTTAGGATATTCTACCTCCTACAATTATGTAGACGACTTACCGCCTTCTTAGTGTTGGTCGACATCGGTATATCAAAGATATAGGTAAAATGCCGCGTTATGGATGGGTTGGGTCGTCTAGACGTACTCTGTCATCAATGGACAGAGAAAGACTTCACCTCTCGAAAAAAGGCCCTAGGAACGATTGGACGGTCCTCTTAATTTTGTACGAACCGAGGCATTGTGGGATATTATTGAAGTAATTATTGTCACGCATCAATCCAATGAGAAGRTCGGAAAAATCAAACAAAATCAAACAAGMACAAAAKATAAAACAAAATAAATAAAKAAATAACAACTAATACTAATATACATAATATAATTAAATCTAGTATACCAATTTTGTTAAGCGAGTCTATAAAAACTTTGAAAGTCATTGCTATTCAAATTCTATTCAAGTTTTTTTTAATGTTTCTTGTTTTTTACATCTATATCAGTCGTAATTGCGCTCGATTCCCAGTGAATCATTTATCACTTAGTCCTACAGAACCAGCATGACACCATGAGTTCACCATCATATTGTATTGACAAAATGATTGTTCATGTATAATTACATCCTGGCGATTCTTTTCATTTCTGTTGGAGTCCACTCTAACTCATATCATCAATAGCTCCTGCTTTGCCTCATATCTTAAAAAATATCTTATAAACTTTAATAAAACTAAATATCAAAACCTAATATATGAAATTAGATATAGAGCAGACAATATATCGATTCCACTTTATTTTCTTGGCAAAAACAAATACATACACTTTTTTCGGCATGATAAAAAAAAAGACGTCATTAAAAAGGCAATATTAAGTGTGCGGAAGAAATGCACTTAGACGGGAAGACTTTCTAGTATTCGCTTCACTGCTGAGAGAGGAACCCAAATATTGAACAGCGGTCTCAGTCTACTTAAACCGGTGAGTGGAGCAAGCTCATGTATGTAACATGTCAACCAACAAGTCATCAAATTTGTAAACTTCGTTCGAGTTCCTAAAAAACCGTTTAGGTGAACTTGAGGTGTTGAACTGTTGTGTGACAATTTACAACGTAATTGAATTTAATTAAAGTACCAGATGCATTGTTATTTGAACAGGCGCAGTAGTGGTTATCATAATCACTCTAAAGTCCTCACAAACAACTCGATAAAACTGCACATCTTACGATATGTCACTCTACAACTAAGCTATCAGATCACACATTAACACTGGTAAGTCTTTAGATTTGGCTGATGAATGAATTAATACAATTGTATCGATAAAAGATCACACTCCATACTGTTTTCAAATGTAAATTAAGGTTGATTTGTCTTTATGTCTTCCATTAATTTATTTGACCAAACCGAATCATGTTAGTGTTGTTTCATTAACTTGGTCAGAATTTCCTTTTCTAATCATGTATATATTTTATGTTAGGATGTCAAGATCCGTTTTACCAATGCAGAAACTTATCATACCAATGACAATCAATGTATGATCTATAATAGAAGATAAATTGACCTTACATAAACGATTTCATRACTATATTCTCAAGATACAAAAATTTATAAAGGTAGTGTACAATATTGACTTTTAAATCTTAACTTTACCAAGACTTGGTACTCATAATGTTATAAGTTGGTGAGATGAATGATCCATATGTATGATCTATAATACAATACAAATTGACCTTACATAAACGATTTCATGACTCCTCATGATACAAAAATTTATAAAGATAGTGTACAATATTGACTTTTAAATCTTACTTTACAAAGACTTGGTACTTAAGTTGGTGAGATGTATGATCCATATGTATGATCTATAATACAATATAAATTGACCTTACATAAACGATTTCATGACTCCTCATGATACAAAAATTTATAAAGATAGTGTACAATATTGACTTTTAAATCTTAACTTTACAAAGACTTAGTACTTAAGTTGGTGAGATTATTTGCTTTACTGTCATTTTACGTGAAATGCGTTGCGTGACGTGAATAACACAGGTCTGTCACGTCCTTTGTGAAGTTTTATATTTCTTTCCTTCTGTGATAAGCCTCAGCATATTCTGCTGCTATGATATGGCTATCATGCAAGCAATGCATTGCTGTTGCTACTGTCAATAATGCAGGGGGGGGGGGGGGGGGGGTGAGTAAAATCGCTGAAAACGATACCCTGTTTGGTGGCAGGTACCCGTATAGCAAATATAGGGGAGTACACTCCCTCCCCTCCCCCTGGCAGTAATGTACATGCACTTCTACTTGATCTGCTGATTTATTTGCTGATGCTATTACTGCTCATTGCTCTCAATGCACTGCTGCTGCTACTGGTGCTGTTGTTGCAACTGTTGCGATTCAAGGAAGTATAATTTGGCGGCAGCTCCTAGCGTCACTTTTTCGTGTCGTCTCCCATCACTCTTTCAAACTCCGGGGGGAGGAGGGGGGGTACTCGACCCCATTTTGGATAGGTACGTGCCGCCAGCGGTCTAAATCCCTGACCCTGTTAAGACACTAGAAAGTGAAAATCCATACCCTGTTCAAGACAAATCGGAAAAATAAGGAATAGCAAGCGGCACGTCCCCGTATATCAAATATATGGGAGTACCCCCCCGGGTTCAAACTGAAACAATTGTACCTAAGTATATTTTCATTGCTTTTTAGACACAACTTTCTTATATGACGCTGTGCATAAAGAGTTTGAATACTCCACCCTGAAATATTCGAATCGTTTTCGTTCTTTTCGAAACACACCTGCCACGAGCCACTAACGCAAAGAAAATTGTTTTCTGCCTCTTGATGYATTTTGTCATTTCAGCTATTGTCATGTTAATAAGGAGACGATAATTAATATTTAAGACTAACAAATTAAGCTATCAAATTTACATTTCAAACCGTATTTAGTGTTTGGTCGAACAGTTGAAGAAAAGCTCATTCCTAAAGAGATATCATGGTTAGATGATATTTCCTGAATGTTTAGTAAGTATGAAAAACGTATTTTTTGTGTGTGTGTTTGTGTGTTTTTTAACCTGTTGTTAATTGATTGCTTAATCGTTAGTAAGATTAGGCTCGAAGTCTGTAAGACAATGAAAATGACATAGAAAAAGACGGGAAATATACATCAAACAAGTCAACGTTTGCACTTGATTCAGTATATTTCAGTATAGAATTTTTGGTGTGTTAATCTGTCAAAATCTGTCAYCGCGTGTCGCTTTCTAATGCCGCATGCGACCCAAATTTTGAGAACTGTCCAAAATTTCTCAAAGTGGTTCAGTTCTTATTTGCTCTGTATAAAAAGTCGTCAAGGATCATCATTTTCTATTTAATGTTGATCATTATTGTTATACAATAYATACCTACTTATACAAAGACGCATTACATCAAACTCAACGAGATTGCGCCTGAAAAAGAAAYAAGTTATACAAACTAGATTGAAGTTTAGAAAAACTATACTAACACAGAGGGTAAATCATTGTAGTTCAACGAATGTTCTTTATTTATTTATGCTACGATMTGCAGGAAATCATGATTATTTTCCATGACTGAAAAGTTTAGCTTTTTCGATTTGCTATTTTTTTAACATTTATCTCGCAAACTGAGATGGCAAAAAGAAGGCACTCATCAATATAGTCTACTAACTATCATGTGTTTCGTAACCAATACGTTTAATGTTTGCTTTTTTTCTGCAGCTGCAAAGGCTGTTAAGTTAAGATATACAGTTGACTCTCTTTGAACGACCACTCTAGTAAGCGACCATATCCCGTATGCGACCACCTTTTAAATTTCCCGTTATAATTGTTTCCCATATAAACTCTGTAAAAAAAACTCTCTCGTAAGCGACCATCTCTCGTAAGCGACCATTTTTTCTGATCCCGAGGTGGTCGCTTACGAGAGAGTTGACTGTACTTCCACATGCATTATTTATTACTAATCGTTCAAGTGAGGCCTTGCTGTTAAAATAATTACTGAAAACACAAGATACAATTCCCTTCTTTCCTTTAGTGTGATGGGAGATTGTTTCTCTTTGATGTTTTAATGCGTAGTGTGTTACCTGTCATGTATTTGCTAGGAGAATAGCTAGGGAAGTCAGAGAACGAATGTATGTATGCCAATTAGTAGCCATCAGCTAAAACAGAATTATATTTCAATGAATAGGTTCATGATGAATCTAATGAAGAAATGCGTTCTTAGACTGGCTTTATATTTTGCTTATGGATTGTTTGGAAGCTGGTTGTTTTGTTCTATCGAGAAAAGAGATGAAAATTACTCCATAACCGGACAAAGGTGAGAACTTTCAGTCAATCTATCAACCCCGRTCCATGTGAAGAGTTGAGCGTTGACTGTGATCTTATCTTGAAGGTTGCTTGACAAGTTGAAGCAAAAAATGGCTGCTAAATATAACTTGACAAACTCAACAGACTTCTACGAGTTTGTTTTGGCAGCTTCTGAAGCAATTGCAGTTCAAAGTCAACCTGACTGGACATTCACTAGTGGGTGTGGTTTCGCGTTTGCTGCTCTGACTACTGTTGGTGCGTGTATATACCGTTCTTCCCACTACATCCCTTTCAATCTTATCCATATCTTCCGTAACGCGGTCCCCGCCCTGCACGAAAACCCTTCCCCCAACCCTACGCGATCCCTTGCTAAGAAACCCTAATTCCCATTTTCCTTATATTCACAATTTTCCATCCATTCGTTWATCCCTACTTTTCTTTCATTCTTCCAATCATTTTTTGTTTTCAGGTTATGGTGATATGTCTCCCAAAACGACTGTTGGTAAAGTCGTCCTCATACCTTACTGCCTGATAGGTCTACCACTAACTATGCTGGCTTTGAAAACATCAGGAGAAGTGATACATCTGTCTATTAAAACTATCGCAGTCAACTTCGAAAGGAAAGTTCTTAAACGCCAGCATCCCGAAAAGAAACTCATCAAATGTTTCATAATAATTATTAGCATTATGACAGTCGTTATTTGTGCTGCTGCAGCAGGAGAGGTGGCCTTGGAGGGTTGGACATTTCTAGATGGTGTATATTGTTGGTTTGTTACATTCACTACTATTGGTTTTGGTGATTTTGTTCCATTTAAACAATACAGAGAGAAGAATGAAAACAATGACACAAGATGGAGGGTATATGTTGCTGGTATTCTTTTTACCGTTCCATTTGTTGGTGGACTCTGTCTTGTGTCTAGCTTRTTGAGTGTAATCATACAGGGATCAGAAAATGTCAAAATTCATTTTCACAAGATTTGTTCATGTTGTGGACAACAAACAGGGCCTGAAGCAAACGATGTTGACAGCAGTAAGACTGATATTAGGCTTCAGTCATTCAGTGTTAATCCACAAAAACACACCAAATCATGAAATGAAACTTTGCAAGAGCATTCTTTTCWGCTTCGAAATAATAAATTACAATCATTATCAGACAAGATTAAGCAGTGCATGGAGCGGGATCGGAACTTATTTCCAGCAATGAAAAGACGTCAAATTGCTAGATAGTCGTATGGATTTACATTGAGGCAAGAGATATCAAGGACCCCAACACGTTATGTGATGAACTCTACAGTCAAAGAGGGAGGAAACGCACCTTATCACTCAGTACTGCATGTAATTTGTGCTTTGCATTGGATTCGTCCGATGTGCTGATTGTAGGTTTAGCGAGACGTTTCTAAGTTGTTTACGACGCATTCAAATAACACACATGCCTTGTTTCAGACTTTATTTGATAAAATTGAACATTCCAAACTGTCCAAAATCGGGAATGATAATATAATACTATTAATGTACACTCAAAATAAGCAGGAACAGAAAAAGGCACAGAAGTTGAGACTACTGAAGGAAACAAGAATGGTGATGACAATAAATGAATTCTATTCTTACACTTAAAACTTCTGTGCTTTTTGAACCCGACAACTTTTATTTTAATTAAGAACGTTTTTTCCTTGTCTGATATGATCAAATCGACGAACTGTCAATCACAGCTGACAATCTCAACAACAATCTCAACAACAATCTCAACAACAATCTCAACAACAAAAATATCTGGAAATATTTATATTGTCAAATATATAGACTTTTATAATAAACTTTGCACAATTCACTGTGCATAGATATGTATATAACTTTTAAGTTAAATGACTCTTCTACTTTGAACATTGTCTTAAACTGTCCGCATTATTTCGAAAATATAATTCAAAATTCATTGAACACAAAACTTTTGACCTAACTAGATATTTTCTCTATAATTCTTCTTTATGTTTCTCAGTGTGTRGTTCTTCTTTTTCCCCTTCAACTATATCCTCTTTGCCTTCTTTTTCTGGTTCAATTTTCTCAATTTCATCTTTGGTTTTAGCTTTTCGATATGGTAGAGGTGGCTCGTTCATAAATAAAATAAAATCTTCTGCAACTCTGTCACCATCGTATTCCACCACAAACTCTCCATAGTAGTAATGCTTTAATGTGGGATAACCATTCACATCCTCGCTATTACAAATACCTAGAACATTCAACAAATAGTTACAAATGATACTAATTTAACAGACAATACAATTCAATCATACCTGAATCAACAGTACAATCCACTGTTGCAAAGATCTTGTTTGGCTTGGACTTGAAAACCTTCGCTGCCTCTTCATATTCAGGTTTTGCCTGCTTGCAGTGACCACACCCTGATTGAATCACAATAAATGAATAAATAAAAGAGTGGATGGATAAATGAATGAACGAATGCATGAATGAATGGGAGAATGGAATCATACATAAAAGCCAGACTTACAAGGAGCGAAGAACATCACCAATACATGCTCATGTTCTTTCAGAAACTGATGGAATGTAGGTTGAGTTAGTCTCTTGATAAGACGTGGAACATGGACTTCAACTCCCTTGGCACCGTCACCAGTATTACTGTATCAAACAGCCTTTATAAGTAWCAAATTAACTACTGAAAACACATCAATGCTACATACTCTCTCATGAAGCGAATCAAATCGATTTTACTTCGATCTCTGACAACTTAAAACCACAGCTAACGTTTTAGAAACAACATGACACTATGAGCTTTGATGACAACTTAAAACCACAGCTAACGTTTCGTACTTACTTGAAGAGTTTCACTGCAAATAGTCGATGAGAACAAGAAAATAAGCCATTAGTGTTTTTAAAATAACAATAGAATTAAATGTGTTGTAATGAACAACAAGCACTAGAGCAGCTTCATACTAATGTCCAGGTTCCTCCCCCTTCCCCCCTCTCTTCCCCTTCCCCTTCCTCCTCCCCTCCCCTCCCCCTTCCTCCTTCCATCTTGTAATGATCACTATGAAATAATGCTCCATTACTTTGACCATAGTTTGACAATCATTCAGTACTGACCTGTTGGATATCCACTAATAGTGACCTGACTGGCTGCTTTTCTTTGCTTAGTGCAGTCTACAGCTGCCAGCTTTACACTTGGCTACAAAAGTATCAATAAGAAACAGTTACTACAAGGTTTACTGACTAGTGTATGAAAACACACTACAAGAAACTTGTAGACTTGTCAAGTCATGGAATGTTACTTACATTTTCTTCTTCCAAAACCTTTGCAGCCTCATAGTAGTTCTTYTTCATGGCATTACAATGTCCACACCCTAATAAAACCACACATCAATGAATATTGGTCTGCAAATCTATTGACGGTGGTATATACTTACAAGGAGCATAAAACAATATAAGGACATCAGAATGATTGGACAGAAAGTCATTGAATGTTTCATCAGTTAAGAAAACCACTTTAGAACCATCTTTACTCCAGTCTTTTGGGGGTGGCGGTGCTTGCGGTTTCTTGGGACTGACATAAAAACATACTCATTTACTTTCATGCAAAATATGTCAGAAACTATAGAAGCTTTTTTTATCTTTTGGAAGTTCACAGGCTCAGGTCCAAGTTTTTACTTATTTAAATTTTGAATTACAACTCACTCTTTCATAAAGTCACGGAATGCCTTTGCACTTCTTGCACCAGTATACTTGAACTGGAATTCACCATTTCTACAGTCAAAGAAGACGTTGTGTTAAGGAAATAGATATCATTGTTCTCTAAAATACGCTGAAAGAGTTGATACTTACTTGAAATATTTCACTGTGAAGAAAATAATTTGATGTAACAATTTAGTAAATATTATAATTGATAATATAAAAAACAACACTGAAATATATTTATGTTACAATCTTAAAGATATGGCATGCTCTGTTTCCAAAGATAAATAAACAACACCTCCTTGCCTTGAAATCATAGCCATGAAATAAATATCAGATTTTACCAGAAAACTAAACCCCCTGTCTTCAATATTATGACATAGACTGAATTATTCATTACCTAACATCAATATTAAATCTAAGATGCATTGGATTTAACTTACAATCTGGATAACCCTTCACACCATTACTGCTACAAACAGTTGATGATTCTGTACAATCTACAGCAGCCATGACACCTTCAATCTATTACAAAAAGAAAAACATAAAAAAGGTTGAGCTTGTGTGGCCAAACTTCATCAGAGTCTTATACTTTTACCTTTTTTTCAGTGTTGACTTCCTTTGCAACTTCACCAAAAGCAGGTTTTAGTTTTTGGCAATGTGGACACCCTATAAGAATATAACACAACTTAGTTGTCACTTACATGGAGGCCGATAAAACAATATTACAAGTCACTTACAGGGAGCATAAAACATAACTAAAGCTGATGATTGTGTTTTTATGAAATCATCAAAAGTAGTGTCATCAAGGTGTACAACATCTTTGTTTTCTGCACTCCAAGAACCCTCTTTCGGTTCCTTTTTCTTTGTTTCAGTCTTCACTGTTTCAGCCTTGGCTGCTTTTTCTTCTCCAATTCTACAAAATGAATACAACATTTCATCATCCATTAATTTTTAACTGTTGCTTGATTGAAATTAATGGATGTTATTGAACTTGTTACTTGTCACCATATCCTACCTGCTCATAAAGTCTACCAAATCCTCAGTTGTTCTTCCATGGTTATATTCACTGCCAAGTTTGCCATTTCTACAAAAACAAAAAAAACAACAAAAACAAAAACATGAAATATGTAAGCTGGAATATAAAGTACCCCTAAACATTTTAATAAATTGATGCTTTATACATTCTATTCTTCTATTGACAGTAAACGTTGTCTGTATTTATCACCTGAAATGTTTTAGAGTTGGGTATCCATTGACTTCAAATTTCTTTGCTGTTTTCCTGTGTTTTGTGCAGTCAACTGCTGCTAGGATACCATTAACCTAAATAAAACAACAACAACATAAGGACAAAATATAACAGTAAATTATATAAACAGTATATAGCAGGCCAAAGTCAAATAGTTGTATATTCTCTGGTTTTGTAAACATTGTCTAACAACTTTCACTCAAAGCAAAAAGTAATTTTTACCTTTTTGATACCAATTTCATCTGCAGCCTTAGCATAGTTTGGTTTCATAGCTTTGCAATGACCACACCCTATCATATAAAACAGGCATAAAGTTGGTTGCCATTACCAATATTAGTCTATACAGCATGCAAGTTTAGACTCTGTCATGACAATCAACAATGATGGTACTTACAAGGAGCATAAAACATAACCAAGACAGATTCATGACTTTTAATCACATCTTCAAAGTCATCGTCAGTAAGATGGTACACACTGCTTGGTTCATCACTCCATTCAGGTTCTGGAGGGGGAGTGGGTGGCCCTTCTTTTGGATCCTCCATAAATTGAATAAAGTCTTTCGATGTTCTGCCACCAGTGTACTTAAAATCTTTCTTACCATAGTTGAAATAGCGAAATGTTGGATACCTGTTCAATAATACACTATCGTTAAAGACTAATCAAGCATTGTTATGACAGTATATTAACCTACCCATGGACATCATATTGCTGACATACACCAGGGTATTTAGTACAGTCTACTCCAGCAAATGCAGCCTGAAGGGAATAAATCACACTTTTTACATGACAATATAAGGTTTTGCATTTTGTGCTGCATATTCCAGTGATAATAACTTCAATACACTAACTTACCTCTCATCCTATCTACATAATTAAACAAAGAATAATGTAAGAATTATTTATCTGTTAGCACTAACCTTTGAGTTACTTTTATGATGTTCTGCAGCAATAACTATCTCTGGTTTGGCTTTTTTACAGTGACCACACCCTGATAACAGACATCAAATATATATTATACAATATTGATTATCTTGTAATTATATCACGAAATACAAACATTGCTTCTAAGCATTATATAAATACTTACATGGAGCATAAAACATAACTAAAACATGTTTCTTTTTCTTAATAATGGTTTTAAAAGTTTCATCTGTCAGGTGGAGGACATTGGGTGCCACATCACTCCATTCTGGATCTGGTGGGGGTGGTGGTGGGGGTTCCTTTGGACTGAATCAAACAATGTCAATTGATCAATCAAAAGACAATGTAAAATAAATGTACTCATCAATATCACTTACTCTTTCATAAAGGATATTATAGCATCAGCTTTCCTTTCATTGACATCAAAAGCTACCTTGCCATCCCTACGTACAAAAAAATACTTTTAATAACTCACAACTTACACTATGTTTAGTGAGTAAAGATAAAAAAGATAATTCCAACTTACCTGAAATATTTTACTGTGAAAGTAAAAATAAGTATCAGTCTTAAGTTAGATGAAATTTAGCTTAATACAGGGCCATGAGAACTACTGTCCTACATGCACACAAGGAAGTTCTGTTATATTAACACCACTGTCAACTTTCTCAGAACTTTCATGGGTGTCCACAGTATAATGCATATTACAAAGGCACATGTCTGGTTACTTATGCCTTTAAACTTGGCTTGTATGACATAAAACTTGATATTCACAAATAAGTGTACAAACCTGTAGGGTACCCTTCCACTTTAAACTTTTTGCCCAAATTTCTCTCTTTTGTTGCATCAACTGCAGCAAGAATTCCTGAAATCTTGAAAAAAATTGATATATAACGAGTTTTAATAAATGTTTTTACTTTATTGACGTCTCAACTGATAAAGGAAGTATTTCCTAGGAACAACCTAAACTCAAACTAGCTATTTGTAAGTCATTCCTTACAGCTAATGACCTGGTGTTTACATCGTTACTGATATACATATGCTTACTCCTTGGTCTTTTAAAGTCTTGGCTGCTTCGGTGTATTCTGGTTTCATTTGCTTGCAGTGACCACACCCTATATCATATAAATAGTCAGTAGAGAAAGTTAACTGATTAAATAACAAGATTAACTTACATGGTGCATAAAACATGACAAGTACAGATGGATTCTTAGCCATGAAGTCATCAAAAGTACTATCAGTAAGATGAGCTACTTCACTAGGGACATCACTCCATTGTTCCTCCTCTTCCTCTTTGGGTGGTGGTGCAGATGGACTGAAAAACAAATATTATTATCAGATGTTGATAACCAAGGTGAATCTGCTCTTGCAAATGAATTTGATGATGCTGATGTTGATTAAGTTACTAATCATGATATACTTGCTACAATGTTAACAGACAAGAAGGTACGAATGCGGAATATGCACACTGAGAATTCAACCATCCTTCACATACTTCTTAAGCCATTCCACTAAGGCATCCTTCTCATATTTCCCTGAATATTTGTACTTTTCTTCGCCATTGCTGAAAATTAAATCACTGTTATTAGCTGTGAGTTAATATAGCCTAGAAATATCTGGATCAAACAACTGTTATTAGCTGTGAGTTAATATAGCCTAGAAATATCTGGATCAAACAACTGTTATTAGCTGTGAGTTAATATAGCCTAGAAATATCTGGATCAAACAACTGTTATTAGCTGTGAGTTAATATAGCCTCTAGAAATATCTGGATCAAACAGTTTACCATATTGAAAATTATGATTAAAAACATTAAGTGTACTCACACAAAGTATATAACAGTTGGAAACCCTGTTATGTTATATTTCATTCTTATACTATAACCCTCCTGAGTATCTACATCCATTCCTGCTAATACCTAGAAAAATGTAGGTATTGAAATTAAAAATTGATATGTTCACGTATTTGCTCAGTTCATTAACTTATTTAGTTTGTAAAATAACAACTGTTTTGAAAGATTGTTACAGATAAAAGAGTTATAAGTAATCTGTATACAAACCACTTCATCTTTTATTTCTGTTGCAGCAGATGCATATTCTGGCTTGAATCGTTTACAAAACCCACACCCTAAAGGAATTAATAATTGAACAAGAAATTGATGATAATATATATTACAGTCTTTCTACTATTTACTCAACATTATTAGTAGTTTGCATAGCTGTTTGTTATTTGTATACATTAACATAAATTTGAATAGTCTTTCAGTCTTTCAGCTAAAAACCAATCAATAACTCACATGGTGCATAAAACATGATAAGGACTGGTTTCTTCTCATTGCTGAATAGTTTACTCAGTTGCTAAAAACAAACAAACAAACAAAATAAAAACATCACACACTGAATAATGGTTTTCCAAATGACTTTCTATATGGTAATTGCAAAAAGAGATTAAAAACATTTAATATCTAGTCAATCTGGAGTTTTGATAAATTTATTTTAAATTTAAATTAAAATATTTTAACAAACATAAACAATTAGGAAAGTAATGAATAATCAAGCAGAAACTCTGATTGCATGCATCTACTATAATAACTGATAAGAATCATGATGTAACCGCACACAACCATATCACCATGACTACTATCATCAAAACCAAGAATACTGTCATCAGGATATCCCTAGATACTGGGTAAATGATGGACTATAATGTTTGTGTATTTTATAAACAATTGAGCAAGCTTTTACACTATTACTAAAAGATGTAGTATTGATTTCTACCTGAGCTGTTTCAATGTGTGCAACGTCCTCTGCTCCAGGTTCCTCTTCCCATGGTGCATCACCAGTAGGATCACTCATGAACTTCATCATTGACTGAATATAACAATTAAGATTTCATTAATCATAACACAATAACATTAACAAAAAATAATACCTACCTTAAATGTATACTTCCTATCATAATCTTTATTGAATTCTCCATCTCTGTAATAAACAGTCAACCATTATTCTACAGTAACTATAATATCTATTGTCAGAACAGAAGCTACAATAGCTTACTTGAAGTGCTTTATCACACTTGGTTTAGGAGTTACTTTCAGCTTCTTGCATAATTTCTTGCTTTCTCTGAGAGAAAGACATAATAACAAATATTTTATAGACTTTTCTGATCAGTTTTATTTACTGTATCAATTTACATATCAACTTTTACTAAACAAAAGAATAGAATTAAATATAATAATAATATATATATAATAATAATATATTCAAATACTGTGATATCTTTTTATCAATAAAAAGGACAACATCATGATATACCTGTAACAAATTACAAAATGCAAATCTTATTTTAATGTTAACAACCCTACCACTACTGGAAGTTATTATTTTATCATTTAATAGCGGGTAATATTTTACTTATCATTTAAGACACAATAGATACAGGTAGTTTTTCCCACAGTCACACCCCTCAGGGACTTTCAGGTAGAGAATGAGCTATTTTTTACTGCTTTTTCACTTGAATACTTAATGCTTGTTTAATCCTTTTATTCAGACCACCAAGGGTTTTATTGTTTAAAAATATGTATAGCTATATTGACATGAATTAAAAATTTTATGTAAATGCATTGATCAGTGATAAATACTATAAACTTATGTACCAATATCTAAAAGACATTTAGTTAAAGAAATGTGTCCTCGATTGGTAACCATGGTTACTGTCATTAACCTAATGAATGTAAAAGTAATTTAAATCCCAGAAACAAAAACACTTTGTCAATATTATGAAACATACCCACAATTGATATATGCTACAGTCCCCTTTCCTTTGATTTCTTTAGCAATATTACCAAGCAATTCAAAATAGCTGGATGCACTTTTATCTATGGAAATGAGATGACATTCACATCAATAATACAACATTTCATTTCCTTTCTAGCCCGACAATACTGTCATAAGTCAGCCACGTTTAGAAGTCTCAACTTCACCATAACAAACACAATGTTATATTGGAAGGAACACAATTTTTACAATGCCTTAGAAAAGATAAGCTTAATACAATCGACGTTGATAATAGCCATTTAACATTATTTACAGAACTTCAACGTAATTTGGAGTGGAAAAGACTTAAATGAAAATATAAATTGTTATGAGGAATATTATTATTAGCTCGTAATTAGCAAATGAACGATAACTCGCTGTATTTAGTGCGAGGACTCACCATTTTTACTGAACAAAACTAGTAAATTTGTATGCGTTCTTTGCAGCTTTTTAAAAGGTTTAATGTCATTGACGTCTAAAACAAATCGTCTATTGTTTGATTTCTTGGCTTGGAAAGGAACAACATTTGTCTGCAACAAAGAAAAAACAATTTACGCTTGAGTGCAAATCTTCCAGTAAAGTTGTACGAGTGCTAAAATTATGGATTTTGCTACAGCACAATGCCTCAACATTCTACTTACCATTACGAAGATAGCTAAAATACGGATCAGCTGAATCCCCAGCTGTTGCATTTTTACTATAAGAACACGTTGGGGAAATTTTAAAAATACAACAACCCTACAAGAGTGATTGTGCCACGTGTGACTTTCAGGATTCCTGCGCGGACTGCGACCCCGTGATTACAGACCAGTGAAAAAGAAATCAACCAATCACAAATAAGACTTACCACCATTACCACAATTGCCGTATTGTTTCTAAAAGCATTTTCAATTGGTGGTCTCGAATACAATTGGACCAATCACAGTTATTTTTAGAAAATCACTAGCCGTGAATGTAAACTACAAAATGGCGGACGAAAAGAGTGTTGTTCAAAGTACATTTCGTTCAGCGTCCTATAATGTTGTTTTACAAGTCAGTTTTAGAGTCCTTACATTTGCTATGAATGGGGTTCTTCTTCGTTACACTAGCAGGGACATGCTTGGCGTGGTAAATGTCAGACTAATGCTCTTACAGCAAACAATCATTTTCGTTTCACGGGAAGCCTTTCGCAAAGCTTGTCTCAGCAAGTCCAGTGAAAAACATTGGCCTCAAGTAATTAACCTGTTGTGGTGTGTCTTTCCCATCGGTCTTTTAATGTCAGCTATTCTTGGATACCTGTGGATATATCATCTAGAAATTCCAGATCCCGCATTTGTCGCCAACTACCCACTAGGGGTTATTGTATTTGCAGGCACTGGAGCATTGGAGTTACTTTCAGAACAACTCTGGGTTGTCTCTCAAGTTTTTCTATTTTTCCGTCTTAAAATCATTGTTGAAGGAATTGCAAACTTCTCACGATGTTTCATGACAGTTTTCCTTGTCATCTGTTTCCCAAATTTGGGGATAATTTCATTCTGTCTTGCTCAAATATCGTTTTCTTTCTTGTCTGTTGTACTCTACTACACTTACTTCTGGTATCAAATAAAAACAGGTGCAAGTGAATCAATAGAACAATTCCCACTAAAGACATTAAGAGACTTCTTTCCTTGTACAATTTCTAACAAGTCTGTAATAAGTTGGGGTATGGCGAAGCTTACATGGAGCTTCTTCAAACAGTCTATACTAAAGAAAATCCTCACTGAAGGAGAGAGATTTATTATGACCATATTCAAGGTCCTTACATTTGCTGAACAAGGTGTTTATGACGTCATCAATAACTTAGGATCGTTAGTTGCTAGGTGTGTTTTCATGCCTATTGAGGAAAGCTATTATACTTTCTTTGCTCACATACTTACTAGGGGTAAAACAGCAAAAGAACAGTCGCAAGAGGCTGCAAGAATAGCAGCTGAGGTGTTAGAAGTGATATTGAGGTTAATGATATTGATTGGCATTACAATACTGATATTTGGGTATTCCTACTCTTATTTATTGTTGGATATCTATGGAGGGGCGACACTAAGTAGTGGGGAAGGTAGGTTTAACACAGCCTTGAGAATATTATGCTTTGGGGGTAACAATATGGTGTCATTTTGTCACTACTTTGGGCATGACTCAGTTCCTGATACATGTGATTTTTTGTTGCTACCAGTTAGATTTCATGTAGAATGATGCGTGATGGAATATTCAGTATATATGTGTATAGTATATGTGTATAGGTGGGGTGAATAAGAACTGGGTCATGACCGGGAGTCATATAAGCAGGAAGGATTCTTCTTTAGAGCTATATATTTGAGCCATATAATAGCCGACTTGCGAATTACGCATCAATAGTCACATACAAAGGAATCAAGACGAGGCGCCGTGCTAAAGACAATAGATTTTTCACAAAAAAGCACGGCGCCTCGTCTTGATTCCTTTGTATGTGACTATTGATGCGTAATTCGCAAGTCGGCTATTGAACCATGTGTCTCAATATTACAGAGGTTGCAAGCTATATTCAGTATTGTTTAAAGCTCACTTCTACTATTTATCATTCTGTTAGGACCCAACCTTCTTCGTTGGTACTGTGTGTATGTCTTAATCATCGCAATCAATGGGATCACAGAGTGCTTCATGTTTGCAGCAATGAGTAGAGATGAAGTAGATTCCTATAATTACAAAATGATGGTGTTTTCTGGCCTCTTTCTAACTGCATCTTGGTATCTCACCATCTTTGGAAGCTCAGGTTTTGTAATGGCCAACTGTTTGAACATGTTGCTGAGGATATTTCACAGGTAAACTGAGATTTATTAAGAGTCTTTATTTATCGCTAAGATACTTTTAAATTATGTCTCATTTCTATTCCAGCTGTAGATTTATTGCTGAATACTTCAAATCTACACCAACACTGAAGCCATTGAAAGGTCTTGTTCCATCTCCCTGGGTTCTTGCTACCTATGCTGTTGCAGGACTAATTACTTCATACTCAGAAACAGTATTTTGCTGTAGCCATGGCTGGTTTAACCGTATTATCCACATTGTAGCTGGAGCACTTTGTCTTTTAGTTGTTGTTGTTACAGTTTGGATAAAGGAAAAGGTTCTAGTCAATTTTATCTCCAAGCAGTGGCTTGGTGTAATAAAAGAGAAAGAAAACTAAATATGTTGTAAAACATGTTGTCATACAAAATAAAATTACTCTACCACCTTGTGCTCGACAAATAATTTTTTTTCTAATTGGTTATGGAGAATGAACATTGTATTTCTTTAGAGAAATCTATAGTTTTGGGCTCCCTGTGGTAAGAGTACACCATTGCTTTTGCCTACCAGGAAACAAAACAAAACAAACACAGCAAGTACACTGACAATGTTTCATTTGCACAAAAAATGTTTCACTGTTTAGACAAACCATTGACAATAACACTATAAACTATCCCATAAAGATTTCCTAGCCTTTCATTCAGCAAGTTTCATGTTGATGTAGAATGGGGTTGCTATAAGTGAGAAAGGAATCATTACTGTGCAGTTAATTTAATAATTTGTCTCTTAGAGAATTTCTTTTTCTCTCAAAGAAAAATGTCCTCTTGTTGTAAGAAAAGACATTTTAAATTGTACTTTTTGTTTTATTCTGTTACCAGGATAATGTTATTACAAGAAAATAAAAGGATCCAATTATGCAGTTTTGTTCGTGGAAATTAAAATCTTGTCCTGATTAAATGGTTTGTAACTTTAATCTTACTATCAAAACTACTGAACTATTTTTAAAGTACAAATAACATCCTTAAAATGGTTTTACTTGCTTTCATGCTCCAAGAAAAATGTACATCTTGTTTGTTACTCCCGGCCTTCAATCCATCCTTGGAAAGTAACTTGAACCAAAACGTTTTTTTCAGGATTCAAGATTATGAAAATAACAGTAGGATTTGAGAAAAATCAGTTTCTTAGCATTTACCACCAGCACAACAGCTTTGTTAATGTTTACACCAGTTTTGGGCTGCACAGCAGTTTTTTTGAAAGGTTGACATTTGGCATGATATAAGTTGTTCACATTATCTGAGATCTGAGAATTAGTATCTTTTTGCATGTTCTACAGTTCAGCTTAAATTATCATAGATTGCTCATAGTTATTGCAGTTACGTCGCCAAACTCCCCTAGTGTTACTGTAGAACAAGCCCAGTCTAAAAGAAAGAAAATATGAAAATTGATAAAGTACCTGGATTTTGTTTGTTTCAAGGTTAGTCAATATTGCCTTTGATGTTAGCATACAGTATGTGTGGGAATGTTGTACAGTATGTGTGCACTGTAAAACAGTGTGTTGAATCATACATTCCAGTCAAAGTGGCTCAACCATTAATGTAAGCAATGCACTGTCAAAACGAGTGTGTTAACCACGGTGGGTTAACCATTCATTCAAACCTTATCTGGATCTATTAATGGACATTTCCAATTATACAGGTAATATTGAAGATTTCCATCCCCAATTCCAAATTTAAGTTTTTCCAGGAACTCTTTATTATCCATTAGGTCTAGAGCATTAAACACATCAAATCCAGCCTTGGAAAAAAAAGTTGAATATCATAAAACTAACAATAATAAAGCGAGGAGGAAAAAATGATGGTCGTAAAACATTTTCATGGTCTTTACCACAGTCATACAAAATATCTTATTGCAGAGACAAAAGAAAAGAAATATTTAATAATATCTAATAATCTGTGAAAAAAAGATCTGCTCAATGTACCTGCTTTGCTAAAATAAGTGCATCTTGCATAAGCTGAAGAAGTGGGACATCATTGCTGACATTATAAAAAGAGTAAGCAGCCTTGAGTTGCTTGTGCACTGGATGATGCATGACTGTTGATGGCAGTGTATAGAAGCTGATAAACCCAGTTACTTTGTTTTCATCATTCTGTAAGATGTCAAAAAGTATTACAAATGTGACAACCAAAGAAATTAAGCTTATTACAACTCACCTGAATAGTGTAGCTGTTGATGATGCCTTCTCTTGGTAAAAACCAGTGTTTAAACTCATCCTAAAATGTACAATCTCTGTAAATATTCTAAAGTGATGTAGTAGTTTTTTTTATCCCTTTCCCTTAATTCTCATTGTGACTTTATTTTGACTGCTAATCATAAAAATTCAAGCTTCAAAATGAATAATTTATTACATTATTAGTATAATCCCAAGGAAGTACCCTCCTGAAAATAGCAAGCCATCATGTATAGTACACCTTCACATCCTTAATAAGTTTTGTTATCATTGGTTAAACAGCAAAATAGATTTTATTCTTTGATTCTTATATTATATCTTCAGTCATACCTCTGTGAACTCTGGTGCAAGGTGAAATTTCTTGAGATACTGCAATAACACACCATTGCATCGATTACAAACTCATGCAACATCAATAAAAATAGTTAAAACTCAAAACAGCAATTAAATCAGCAAAAAGGTGTTTGGATAAAACAATATATATGATACTGTACAGGTGGATCACACTGCATTTAGCACACTAAACCATACTTCAGCATTTACTTCAATATTTTCCATACCTCTGAGACAATTTGGTAAGCTTCCATTACTAACTCACTACTTAATGGTTTGATTCCCTTAGTCTCAGGTTCCTAATATAAAGAAAAAGTCTTGTTAACAAACTAGTTATGTTTTTTCTAAAGTGCGCTACTTTTACCTCTGGTAGACGATAGAGCTTCACTGTACGCTGCATTGTCATGTGCCTACTTAGGTGTGAAAACTTCACATCAATAAGCTTTTTTGGGTTCAGAGATCTGTGCCAGTACCTAGATATACAAAGAAGACAAACAGACTCTTGGAACAGAATGCTTTTAGCAAGAATTATAAGCATGAAAATTATAAACAACGTGGTCTCTAATCATAGTCACATCACGTTGTGTAGCTGATTTTACCTGCAACAGGCAACAGGTTTAGGTAGAACCACACCAGCAGTATAAACAGCTTGGAAAATGCCTTCCATGTTGACTCTTCTCGTAATCTCACGGATAAGAACTGGTGCAACACGCTTAGAACGAAGCTTTTTGTGTACACAAAGAAAGTTGATCTCTACCATAAGAATAGTTCTGAGGGATCGTTGGAAAATAATTTGGTTAGTAAAACTAAAAGACATTAGAAAACATGACATAACTTACTTGGAATGTATCCTGACATGTGCTGGAATAGCACTGATAAAACCTACTAGTTTTTTGTTGGAAGCCACTCTCACACCACAGTGCCATTGCATTTTCCATCCTGGTGGCTTAAGAGCCCTAAAAGAAATACATTTTAAAATGCTTATTCTACTGGGACATTGATAAACTGAAACATTCTAGGACAGACATTGCTACGTCAGACATTGATTTTGTATTTAGCTGATTGACAGTCAGAAACAAATTATTAAGTCAATTATATGCAACCAATCAGATTTTTTATGATACACAACAGTTTATCTAGATATCTGAATTTACAGCAAAAACCCTTGCAGTAATCCTGCATACATCAAAATCTAAGTATTAACTTACCAAACAAGAAACTCAGATGAATAATCAAATCTAAACATGTTGTCGTCGTCCTCAACATAGTTTTCATTGAGTAAAGTGTACAATTCTTTTAACTGAAAGAGATGTTAAAATATGAATTTTTAGTTTAAAAAATATATTTGAAGTATCTATCCTACAATAACATATAGTTTTGCAAACAAAGCTAATATGAACTTACAATACTTGAGTTGCTAATATCCAAAGTATCCCACTCAAAGCCCTCAGGAAGAGAGTATGGATCTTGTCGTATTTCTGCAATGGTCTTGTCTTCCTCAATTGCACCAAACTCTTGAACTTCTTCATCTACAATACAGTATGACAATAAAGAATTTGAACTTCTTCATCTACAATACAGTATGACAATAGAGAATAAAAAAATGCACATACAAAAAGTATGTTCAACAAATATTTCTGTTATGTGAAAAGGATGACACTTTTAGCTAGGCAAGGACATAAGTTATATGGCTTCCTTTTGGTTTCAAGCTTATATTGTTTTTCCTTTTATAAATGAAACCATGTTCGGTGTTGTTAAAGTAACTCAGTAACTCAATGATGGTACATGAACGCAAATATATGTACACTTAACTAAAACATAAACATGTTTCAAATATACAAAGTAAGCTTATTAGCTTACCAATCTTAGGCACAGGTTGAGTATCCCAAAACAAGTATTTTTTCTTCTTAGCTTCTTCAGCCGTCTTAGGAGGCTTCCCATCAATTTTCATGGCATCCAAAAACTTCTGTAGATCCTTTATTTGGTTTGCATTAGGTCTTGTGCCATGTTCACCTCCAGCACAAGCATCCATAGTACAATGGTCATCATCGCAACATTCTTTCTTTGCCTTCTTTTTCTTCTTCTTCTTTTTAGAACTAACTGATTTACTACTTGAAGGCTCATTATCACTCACTGATTTTAACCTGCCATTTACATCCTCAGATTGCTCGTTGTAGTTTATTTTTTTTCCACTTGAGTGGAGCGAATCTCCCATGCTCTCTTCATCCGCCATTTTCTTGGTGTGACAGATGTTAGAGCCCAGTCCTTCAATCCAAAAACAAAAGGATACCCGGTCCAGTGGCCAAAGGTGCTAATGTTTTTTGTGTGCTTATTTTGATGACCAAGAAGCACTTATACAAAGATTCAATTAATAAAAATTTAAAATCACTAAGTTTATGTGGTGTACTATTAAAGTGAATAGCAACTTCACACGCTTTTTTCTTAGTCAACATAGATGATTTGTGATAGTTCAGTTGGTCATATTAATTAACGTTCTTCGACTTAATTATTGATTGATATAATAAAATCTGTAGCGAAAATATTAAATTTGAATGAAGATTCTAATATATTTATATATATCTAATAATAATATATTCATATATATTCATACATTTACTTATCTTTTTTAAAAAAGGACTTACTACTCACATTTATATTAATCGTCAAGGCCTTTCTTTTTCATTCCACAAAAAAATAACCTTTCAGAAGAATGATAAAAACAGTAGTAGCCCTTACACCCAAAATTTGGGACTCCTGTGCTAAAGAAAGACTGGGCTCTAACTATGACGTCACAAATTCTGTTGCACATGGCAACCATTTGACTCAGCTTGAAGAAAAACATCGTAGTTTCCAACAGAAAAATAAAAAGAGAGCTTGCTGATTTTCTAATAAGATGGCAGGTATTATAGCCAGAAAGAATCAAGAAAAACTTGCGGAATCTTTATACAAAAATACAAACTGTAAGTAAGGAGTTGTAAATTGTTTTAAGTGAGTTATCACAATCGCCTCTAAGAAATCGAATGTCATTCGACTCATTCTTGTCGCAGTTTCCAAGCAAGAAGTATTGAATTTACTGACGATGTTTTCCGAAGAAGTCAAGCCAAAAGACAAGATGGACAGAACGGCATTTCGAGAAATATTGCGAACAAAATTCAGTATGACAGATGACATGCTTATGGATCGAGGTAAAGTTTGGTCTTTACATTCATATGACCACATTGACTTCAACATTATACTAATATATTACCATTATACATTGCAGTTTTCAGGGCATTCGACAAGGATACTGACAGTTTTATACGAATGGAAGATTGGGTTATGGGTTTGTCTGATTTCTTGAGAGGAAATTTAGACAAAAGAACAGAATGTAAGTTATAGACTGRACATGAGAGTGATCTGCACACATCAGGTTATAAATACCTAGGTAGAATAGAGCCTTAACAGTGACGGTCCAGACCGCTGATGAGGGTCCAGATGCTGGGTTATAATCACAGATTTTTATTTAAAATCAGAATTCACAAATCCCATTTTCACTTGTATCAATCCCAGTGCCTGGCTCACTCCTCCAACAGGGCTTCACCTTTAACAGTTTTGTTTACATATATGGCCTGTATTGCAGCTCATACCATTTCTCAACGAGAATAAATTTGCACTCTCTTGTTCTTTTGCTTTAAGAGATTGCACATGATTGGAATATCATTGATTTTTCAATGGTGTTAAAAATATTAATCCTGTAAAGTTAAGTCTGCATTAAAAGTAATTCATACTCTTATTAGCTGTTAAGATAAGTTTTAAAATGTTGTATTCTAATCTTTTTTTACAGTTTGCTTCAATGTGTATGACTTAAATGGAGATTCATTTATTTCAAAAGAAGAAATTATACAATTACTAAAGAATACAATTGTCAAGGTAACATAAATAAGATTCAGTTTGAAGATTTAGAATTTTTGTAATTTGATTAAGAAATTAATAACAAACGGCTTTCTCCTTTATTCCCATAATAGAGCTTTCTCGTACCCAGATCCTTCACTCAGTTTCCCAACAGAAAATTGAAGGCTCTGGTTCGAGACAATACCCAGAATTAAATGATGACTATTTCTTTCTTGACCAGCAATCAACTGAAGAAGAGCCTGATGAAGGTGTTCGTGATCTTTGTGACATAGCCTTGAGAATTACGGTATGCTATTTGTAAAGACACAATTATTATGCATGTGTGGAAGGAACTGGTTGTCACTGCTAAATGTTAATAGTAAGTTCAAGTGGTGAGTGCATCTTTTAACAGAGTCTCTATTTTTATTCAGGATGATGATAGTGATAACAAACTTTCATTGAAAGACTTTAAAGCAGCAGTTAACAGAAATACTCTTTTGCTCGAAATCTTTGGCCAGTGTCTCCCAAATCAAGATGTAAGTTCTGATGGCTAAGAATTAATGATTCTATTTGTTATATTTAATAAATTAATGGCTTCCATTTGAAATCAGTAGTAAAATAAATGATAAAGACAGCAAGTGATTTTTATGACGTTTCGAGGCCCACAATTATTGTCCATTAAAAGTACTCGACAATGAGGACAGTATGACCTCGAAACGTCGTAAAAATCACTTGCTGTCTTTATCGTTTATTTTACTACTGATTTCAAAACCGCTTCCATTTGCAGTGTGAATATTTTAATTTACATTTATAACATCCATGTTGCTTTTTTTGTAGGATATCGATAAATTTCTTGAGGAAATAAAGGACGAAAAGGAGAATCAGGCAAAAGGGCCTTCAAGCTATAAACCTCGCAAGACATAACCATCTATATAATATGATACTTAGCAAATAAGATCCACATTTCTTTTTTGTAAATAAGGCCTGCCACAGATCAACATTCTGTGTTAGAAAGAAGATCACCTCACCATGTAGAAAGGAAGTTTCATCAGAAATACAAATAAATAAACAATCAAATAGTATAAAAGTGTGAATTTTACATTTTATTGTTTCACAATGAAGTCCAAAAATTAAATTATAAAAACAGTGTTAAAAAAAAAATTCTTGCAATAATGTAGTACTGGAGCTTAGTATCGACTTCGTATGAGTGTCAACACATCACTACTTGATTATGGTAGTTAAACTTTGAATATGTTACAGAATGCTGTTACATTTTCTCCACACACATTTCAATTTGGTTCTATAAAACTATTTGATCATTTTATTACAGTAGAATTACTCCTGTAAATAATTTTCAACAATCTCATGTATTTTTTTGTATATATTTTTTCCTGACCATCCAAGCAATATTCATAATTCTCTCCACAAGGAATGGTATTCAATATTTGTCACAGTTTCTGGATGAGTACTGTGTGCAAATGCTATCACTTGTTTCTTCAACATAACCTGCAGCTTTGTCAAGTTTTGAGCCTGAAAATGAAATCATTTGTCTGATATGAGTGAGCATGCAGACACAATATAATTTACAAAGAAATTATCTGGATGCTGCGCAATATAATTGTATTTCAAGGTCAAATTATTCAGTCTTCCTTGCCTGTTATCAAGTTGTGCAGATTGCAATAGTTTGTCCCATAGTCAAGGACTGCATACCACACTTCAGAAGTAGAGAAACCCTTAAGGAAATCAAAACAAACAATATTACATGTTTAATCAAATTGTAATATGACACAACTCTTACATTTTACTGGGTTAGCAACTTATATGGATTTATATTTAGTAAATAGAGAAGCAAGGGTGAAAGAGCGGTAGAGTGCATGCCTGTCATGACTATTATCATATTTTATATACCTCTACAGCGCAGCCTTCACTTGACTTAGTAAAGTTGAATGTCAAATCATCAACATAATGTTTCTTTGGTGTTTCATGCGTAGCTTTGATCATGTCTGGGCTTGACTCTTTGAGCTACCAAATAAAATATTGACAATATGGGTCATATAACATAATTTTACATATCAATAAAATGCAAGATCTTTCCAATCACTTGTGCACACTTGATATTCACAATCCCCCCCCCTCCCCCTGTCCTCCAAATTAGCCAACCTATGACATGTGTAAAACCACCATTTGCAAGGCTACTTGCAGTTTCATGCAACCAACTCATACTAGACATCATATTTTCGACAATACTGCATTATTTGAACTTACATTGTACAAACACTTTTCACCTCCTTGGTCGCAGCCCTTCTCACCATTCCAAGCCTTGATCTGAGAGATTATCAACTCATTCACAGTAGTGCAGTTGAGACTCCATTTCCTTCAAAACATAGATTTAAACAATCAATCCTATTCACACTAAAGATTTCATAAATTATTACATTAAATAGCCCTAATGTTATCCGGGAATGAAGGTTATTGACAGCAGTGATTACGCAATTCTCATTTGTTTAAAAAGTTTTACATATCTGCACAAACGAACGTGTTAATTCAATTCAGTAAGCTTACCAATGAATCTTACAAGAAGCATGGAGCTTCTCATGTGAGCTAGAAATCAATGCCAATGGCAGAAGAACGAGTAAACACAGAGAATAAGACGAACTCATTTTGAACTTTCGACCAAAATGAAATTGGCACAGTTCACGTGATGCTATATACGTCACTATCCATCATGCAACGGTGCCCAGGGGATATATATTATTTATTACATACAGTTTAATAAACACAAGAATACTCTAATCCTATAATGTAATTGACATACGGTAAACCTGAAAAATTTTGGTTCTCAGAGGTTGTTTTTAAAAAGTGTTTACTTCTTGGGTTCCCTGTGGTTTTGCCCACAATGCATTGTTCAAACAACGTGCTAGGTCACTTTCCCGGCAAGATGGCTTCCAACAATCAGGGAAACGACAGTGGCTCAAATTCTGGTAGGATTGACGTTGACAACCCTCCTTTCTCGAGAGTTTTTGTGGTATGTAGTAAGAGACATACATCAGACGATATGAGAATAGCTTTTGAGCCGTATGGTGTGATTGAAGACATTTGGATGGTTAAAGACAAAGTGACTAAAGAAAACAGAGGTGTCTGCTACATAAAGTTCGAGAAAGCTTCTTCGGCTGCTCTTGCATGTGAAGAAATGGATTGCAAACAAATTGGAGACGACCCCAAAGTAATTAAGGTATTAACATTTACAAGTTCACACGTCTTCCCAAAGAACTAAGTATCTGTGGTTTAAAGAAAAGGGGCTGGTGTTGTGAGGCGATACGTGTATGTCCACAGACATCTCTCCCCATGTGGCGGCATTTCATTGTATATTTCTTATCGAAATTCACCCTCATAGCAGTCAAATATGTTAAAGTATCAATAACCATAACCGTCTGGAATGTTGTTAGTCTAGATTACACATAAGGGACTTTGTTTCTGGCTGTAATTGGAATCTTTTCGTCCGTGTGATATCAGGTGTTTTCAATCTCTTTTGATTTCGATTTTATAAAAGCTGGTCGAGGCATTTACTTGATGCTAAATAATTGATGTGCATAACCACTTTTGTAGTTTTTCTCGACTCGAATTAAAGCTACGTTAAAGAAAGTTACATGGCGAGGTGCTGAAAAGCATTGTTTGTATTTTTGAAGTGTTCAATTGCCCAGCTGATTTCGTCTTCGTGGAAAAAATAGGACACTCAAAAATGGTGTTTATTGATTAATTTTAACTTTTTGTCATTTACAGTATTGCTATATAAATTACAAGACATCAGTAAAATTGATGAAATTTTTGTTGTAACTGTTTCTAGTAACTTTTAATCCAGCGTTTGCTTGTTTTACCAAACGAATATTGCGCCATAAACAACAAAGAGCGGCCCAGTTTTGGTGTAAAAAAGCCATTGGAAAAGCGTTTAAATTATTGATTAGGTTCGTTTTGGTGCTTTTATTTATTTTACGTGTATTTTTACACATTAGTAATTCATAACATTTCGTTTTTCTAAGGCAATCCTACATAGAAAGCCACTTTCAAAACGACTTGTTGAAAAGAATTAGAATTAAAAGTATAACCAACTATATAAGTGAAGTAGTTGTTTAGTTCAGGTTAAAACAATTTTCTAATGTTTTGTTTGTTGTGTTAAATAAAAATGTGCTTTGTTATTGCCCAAGTTTTACCAGATTAATTTGTGAGTTGCGTATTAGAAACCTCATTCCATTGAAGGATGGAGTTCATTAAGACACAACTATACATTCTAGTCCTAATTTTTTTTCTTGTCTATTTTGATCTTTCCCACAAACGATATCCTTGCATTCAGAATTTCATAAATAAGATTAAGTATAAACCTTCGAAACAATTCACATAATCACTTGTTGGGGAAAGCTATACCACTAAAATATTCCTAGTGGCCACAAATCAGTAGGTAATATCTGGTTGCAGCTGAGATGTATTAAATTTCACATAAAATCAAGCAGAGAAGAACTAGCAGGCTACATCTACTGATATTGATGTCTTCATAGCATCATTTTAATGACAGTCTTTCCAGATGTGAATTCTGACAAGAATATTTACCAAGATAACAAAATGGTCTGTCACATCAGCTGCTGTTGTTATATTGTTTTCATTTCCTGTCCTATTTCATTCATTTTAATCTACTCCAATTTAATTTTCCTTGTCATAAGTGAAATAATTGGCATGCAGGAATATGAATACCTACATTCTATGATCTTTTCAAAGATACTCTTTTATCATTTATCAGTGTTTTGGATATGGAATATGTTCTTTGATTTCAAATAGCAACTACCAATCTATTCAAGGCAATGGAAAATGTATATGTTTACAGGCAACTTTAATTTGAATAGTGCTGAATTACATGTAGGAATCTTTCCAATGTAAATGGCTAGTGGTAACCTGGTATTATTATGGAGTTAAGTATCATGAAAAACACTGATATGTCTCTATTTCATTGGTATTCCTACTTGAATCAATTTTAGAAACTGTTTTTGGAGAAAATTACACTTTTAATTAAGATTTTGTACTTCAGGGCAAATTTTCATAATAGCAATAGTAATAGATAGATAGATAGATGTATTTGTAGGTTATGATATAGAGTAGATACAGTCTTTTAAGCTCTTAAAKCTTTCACAATAAGTACTACCAAGCTGCTTAGGATATTATGTGAAGCAGGTGGTTGTAGATAGGATCACTTCACATAACCAGTGTTTCAAGATATTAAACATTTTAGTATTATTTTAATAAAAACAATTGAGCTACTTCTTTCATCGGTTTGTTATCATGGATTTTATTGTTAATTCAAAAGATACTGTAATTAATTTCTACAATGTCTAAGACAAAATATTTGGTTCATTAAAATCAAGCTTATCTTTGCTGCACATAAAACATAATTCAATTAAAACTTTCTTGATTGTATTATAATTGTGTCAATATTTTATATAGATAGGAGTTTTTATATTTGATCACTAGTGAAAAGCATTCAGCAGTGGTCAGAGCTTGATTCAAGTGATGTCATGTGTTGCAGGTGTCTTAGTATATTAAAATGATATGAAGTTTAGTCTACAGTTGAATACATCTAGCACCTTATTAAGAGAACCATCATCACTTGATAGTCCACTGCAATACCTTCTACAGTACAATGAATTATCCCAGGAGAAGACATATTGGCTTTGGTTTCCATTTACAGGTATCCTTTAGGTGTTTTAAATGAAAAAACATCAAAGTATTTTGAGCTTGCGAATTTTTCTTTGTATCTTCTAACATTGCATTCAAAATCTAAAATTCTTATGATAATTTCCCTTTTTTGGCCATTACACTAGTTGATTTATTACTACTTTTTGTATCTCTTTCTTTCCCAACTCAAGATATTTTTAGACTTGAAATTATGCTATTCATTGAAAAGACATGAACACAGAGAGATATTTTACATTGTATAAATATTATTGCTTTATGTAATGTAGCGTTCTAGCAAATGTTTTATTACATTCTCACAATGTTGTATCATGTATAAAAAGAGGCTTTGAATTCTGTAGGACCATTCACTGTGATTTTTTGGACAGAATGAGGAATCATTTTGTTATTATTCATCAGTACAATATTTTTTGTCTGTTTTTATTTTTATTATTTTTTTCTATGAATATCATGCAACCTAAGTATACAAGTGTTCTACTTTATTACTGTTGCGTTTTAGATTTACTTAAAGTGTAATTACAAAAATAAATAAAACTGATTCTTTTGAAGCAAATTATGAAAAAAATAAGATTTGATAAAAATGTCAAGCAGTTTTTTATCAAGTTTTTAGACAAATGACAAGCATTTAATTTATCAAGAAAGATTGGATGATAAATATCAACCAATAACTTTTATTATTTTTCTTATACAATTAAAATGAAGATGACCTTGAGTCCTGTTTGTGTGTTCTGACTGAGATTTTTAGAGTTGTTTTTACACTTTTGAAATATCAATTGAACCTTTATAGTAACTGAAATGTCCAATGGGTAGAAATCACACTAGTCTATAATTGATAGGTGTTGGATGAGAAAACGTGTAGAAAACTGCTGCTGTTAATAAATATTCATTTTATTTGTTATGAAGCAAATGTTTGTTTTATAATGATAATGCAACAATTGTAGATCTTAATTAACACTAATTGTTTTCTGTTTTTATTGTTACAAACAAACAAACAATCCACCACTAATTCAGTGGATGTTTTTAAGATTTTGTTGGTTAAGTTTTGGCAATTTATGGTATTCTAATTAGCGAGCTCTTGGAGCTTGCCAAAAAAACAACAATTAGGAACAAATACTGTAACCAATACCCACCAGATTTACAAATAGCTAGTTTTGGATTGGTCAATGCATGTGTGTTGAGAACAGGGGGTTTGTCTGCAAAACTTGAGAGTATTCATTAGATTGTGTGTTTGTTTCAGGCAATGATTGCTCAATCAAAGCATTCAGGCTCTAAAATGGACTTCCATGATCCTACCACAATGACAAGATTGTTTGTCATCTGTCCCAAAGACTACACTGATGATGACTTGAGATCCAAGTTTGAAAACTTTGGTGATTTAGAATATGTTCAGATTGTGCGTGATCATCAGACAAGGGAGAATAAAGGTTATGGTTATGTGAAGTTTTCTAAAGCATCTACTGCATCTTTGGCTTTAGAGAATTGTGACAAAGGACTGAAAGCTGTTTGGGCAGAGCCAAAATCAGCCAAAGTTGCTAGATATGCTGCTGCTGCATCTTCAGTGGCACAGGCTTATGCACCTCAAAATCCATTCTTGGACCAAACAGGGATCTTCTCAGCAGCCATTCCACAAGCTCAGCCAACCCTTCACCAGCCTATGGAGTTTTTTACTAGTCAAACAGCAAGTAACCCAACAGCATCTGTAGCAGAAACAATCACATCGTCACACACACCTACAAGATTATTTGTAATTGTGTCAGTATCCTTGACTCAAGACCAAGTAGCCCGTCTGTTTGACATCATACCAGGAATGCAGATGTGTGATCTGAAACGCAATCACAAAACAGGTGAATCAAAGGGCTTTGCATATGTTACATACAATTCTGTTGGATCTGCTATCTATGCAAAGGAAAAGTTGAATGGCTTTGAGTATCCTCCAGGCTCTAAGCTTGTCATCAAATATGCTGAGGATCCACCCTCAAGTCGTAACAACTCTGAGTCAAGTTCATCTAACAATATCTTTGGTTCCAAATCATCAATTCCTGGAGCCAGTACAGCCTTTACTCTTGATAGCAGCCAAGTTTATACTACAGCAGGACTTCCGGCACCTGCACCACTTGCTGATCCTAACTCTGAGGTAGTATCACGATTGTTTATTGTGTGCAATCCAGCACCACCGCCTGATCCCGTCCTCAAGGATGTTTTCAGTAGATTTGGTAATCTAATTGATGTGTATATGATGAAAGACAGGAACTTTGGATATGCAAAGTTTGCATCAAAAGATTCTGCTGATGTCGCAATTGAAGGACTTCACGGTCATGAGGTGTTGGGAATGAAACTCAAAGTTATGCATGCAGACCCTCCTAAACACGAGTCTTCACGCAAGAGACCACGCACCTAATTCTCACAATACAGTCCCAAGGTGAAACACTGTATATTGCATCGCCAACAAGAACTGCAGTTATTTTGCAGGTAATGTAACTATATTATGAGTTGGCAAATTTGTATTATTGGACAGAAACAACATACTTGGATACAACAGAACCGTCAATATATACGTAGATCACTCAGACAACTCTTGACAACGTTGGCAAGACACGACTGGAGGACTGGACTGGAGTTGGGAACTTACAGAGAGCACTAAGACATTTGTATAGAAAACTTGAAGACTCTGTGACTGGAACGTTTAGGATAAGGATTCTTACTCTATTCAAACCAAGCAAACGTTTTAAATATTTTAACATAAACGATGTTTTGGATGCATATATTGCCTTTGTGATGAGTTACTTCATCTTAAATTTATTTAAACTTTATACAATGTTAGTTAAACATAAAAATAGGTATTTGCCAAAATTATTGACTAGTTAATGTAATAGCTAAATTTCTCTAGCTTGAAAAATAAACTAAAATATCCTTTGCATCTGCATAATTTTGTTTTTAATTCAACCGCTGTAGTTGATAATGGATTAAAAACATCAACTTAAGAGTAAAATAGTGTCCGGAGTAACCTTAAGCAATTGTTGATGAATGAAATTAAAAATGAATTCAATATTTGAAGTACTATTGCGCGATGGTGAAAACACCCTGAAGAAATGCCGGTAGCGCGTTGTTTGTGGTTATCATGAACCAACTGAGCAAGTATCACTTGTTATCATCTTATGCTAAATGAATAATAGATTGGATTCTTTTAAATTATCGGTTACTGGCGTCATGAAACTGTGCAGTTCTTCGGGGTGTTCTGTCATTTCTCTAGGCGTAGACAGCGGGAAGTCATATATGCAATTCCCAACATTGTAAAGGAATGTTTCCCAGTATATCACGGAAAAATACAACCAAAACCAACCAGTAATGGCTAAGTCTTCATTAGTAATCGGTCGAAACCATACTCTGTACAAATCGTGAATCACAGGGCAGTTCTTGACCGACTGAGCTGATAAATAAAAAATGAGCAGAAAATTACTCGTTAATCTACAGCATCTTGTATAAACAATTTCTGATAAACGTTTTTCTTGCCTTTGTGCCAAGTTTTCTTTTAAGCAGCGCTTTCCTCATAAAGATATGGGTAATCTTAGACAATTCAACTTTACTTGAATACGATAACAAAACAGTTTTACTAATTGGTCGAATTTTTAACCATTTCTAATCAAGAATCACACTTTCTCATTAAAAAACGATGAACATGACAAGACATTCTTACTTTTATCTACTTTCACTTCAAACGGCGAACTATACATGAATCGCACTTTATCTTTGTACTAAAAAAAAATACAAGGGCTATACAAATGGTACGAATGTGAAATGTTAGACCAGTACTTAGACGATATTACTATTATCTCCTTGGTTTCGCTGATTTTATTTTAATAAATTTTCCAGGAGACAATAGTATTCAACGACTTAAACGAGTCGGCGTGGTCAGAATTAATATTAAGAAATGATTCTGGGTGACTATACCTCGACACCAAACCCGTTGAACATCAAGAAACTGATTGGACATCGATAAAATTGTGAAACCAGTAATGCATTAAACATTGAAAAACAAATTGAGTGAGATCCTACAATCAACCCTCTTAATGGTCAATGTTCATTGAAAGTACGTTTTCACTTATCAAACACAAACCCCTTCTATATTTCTTTTAGGCTGTCTCCAATTTTATGCGTTTAAGGTATTGTTTTCAAATTGACCAAGCAGTATCTCGTATAGTAAGCGAAGACCTAATCGTTTAACATGTTTCTTTGACACCCAATTCAACACTGACCTCTCGGGAAAGAAACCTGTAAACTCAAAATATTTCAAAGTGCATTGAACCGTTTTCCCTAGGTGGTTTGAATTGGGTTGAAACTTAAAGAGGCGTTAGTCGATCAGGTTAATGCATCATAACTTGTTTCTGTCATGTGAACATACTTTAATATTTGCTATTTATTGATGTACAGGTCAAGAACTGGATGCATGGAGACATCTCCTCGAGGACATGATATTTGTTGAATTTGTCCTAGAATATTAACCACTATTTTATTAATAAATCCATATTTCTGAAAAGAGTGTCTTGTTTGTTTTTCCTTCCCGGGCAGTGGGTGTTACGACCTGTTACCTCTGTGATCCTGATGCTTGGTACTGAAGGTATAAAGTGACAAGGTCTAGTTATAATAAAGGTTTTTAAACCTTTAAAAATAGACAGAAAACAAAGCAATACCGGATCTCCCCAATTTTTCTTTTTTGTAGATTCCGGAACTATGATCCATTGTTTGGGCTGCGTTGACGAAAACGATGAAAATATGCAGTTAAAAAACTGATCCATAATTTGTTAACGCAGTCGGTGCGCGTCTTGCTTTTCGGTCGGTGAAAGGTCGATAATCGAGGGGTAGTTTGAATGTTACACCACCAAACTGTCAGTTGTAGTAGCATCATTTCTCAGAGAATACATGAGAAGAAGAAAAGAAGGGATAAAAGATAAGACATTGGAAATATTAGTTGATCCATAGTCAATAGTACTGTAGTCAATCATCAGAATTGAATATAGAAAGAAATAAAGAGAGTAAATGCAAAAGGAAAAGCAATAAAAAATATGATAAAAGGGAAATCACCCAATCTGGGATTCGAACTCTTGACCTTGAAAACGAAAAAAGTTTGGGACGATTCCCCCGAGACATTCTGTGAAGCTGAGGCGTCGAATCGATTTACATTCCGGTTAGAGATTTCGGCTCTTCCATGCTATCCCGATAATTGGTCCTAACTTCGCGCTAACTAAAAAGCCAGTGAGGGAGAAGCTATCCGGCCCCTAGACACTGATGGACAACCCCTTGCACTAACTAGGCAACTATCGAAAATATAATGTCAAATTGGGGTAGTCTATTCGGTGAAAGTGTCAAGTGGTCTATTATTATGTAAATGAGCGTGGTCCTGTGGCGCATCTCGTTAAGGCGCTGCGATACAAAGCGAACGGTAATTTAGGTTCGAAACCATGATTGATAAGAATATTTTACTTTTTTCATCGCTACTTTTTATTTTTTGTTTTTTCTTCATTTTTCATTTATTTGTGATTATATGTATTCATCATAACTTAAGCTCMTCAAAATCAGYATTTATCGATAGACGAACGCAACGCACCTGTTGGGATACCTGTATTAATCAAAGTACGTGATTGGATTTTGTCTTATAAAAACTCATCTTTATGATCATATACCCATATGAAAGTAACTTATTTCAAATTGACCTACCAGCGCCGTAGCCAGAGGAAAATGTTAACCGAGGCACTTTACCCGACCGGCAGAAGCGGTTGTATCAAGGGGGTTTGCGGGCATGCCTCCCCGAAACATTTTGAAATTCAGACACTCGGAAACGTGCAGCGTTTTGTTAAGTGACTTTTTTATCTTACATCATTGATCGAACTTTTTTATTTTAGATGCGAAAAAGAAAACTCGACAAAATTTTACTGAGGCAAGTGCCTCGCTTGCCTGATGACCCTGATCGTAGCTATGGCGCTGCCTACATGGTCCTACAATTCTTACAAGGGCGTCCTCATCAAGGGGATCAATCACGTGTCATTTTTTCCGCATATAGGTTAGGATAATGTGTGAGGTTTTAGCTTTCGAAACACTAATGCATTCGTTTCAGGATCGTCACTAAACGACCTGAAAAGGATGCGCTATTAAAAATGAGGTTTATTTTCTATTTTTGGGGTGCAGCAAAGTCTTAAAAAGTTGTTTCATATCAGCGGATGTTCATTCCAGAGTAGAGTATGCGCACTGTCGATCCCACGTGCACGCTAATCGCGCGTCCATTTTCAGGTTTGAAGATTAGTTTAGAATTTGACTAAAATGTCAAGTTTATTCTGGATCTACTTATGAAAACCCCGCTGATGGTAGTGAATCGATACTTCTATGTTTTTGATTAGCGTGTCTTGTTCTACGAAATGGTAAAAGCCATGGTTGGAGGGTGCTGTGTATGTTCAGATGAGCGTGGCTGGGACGAAAACCCCCTTGTATACTGCGATGGTCATGGATGTAATGTGGCGGTTCATCAAGGTACAGGGATAACTTCATGTCACGCATTCTAAATAAAGGTTGAAGTATTGTTTGTTCTTGTTTCAGCTTGCTATGGAATCGTCCAGGTGCCGAAAGGCCCTTGGTTTTGTCGAAAGTGTGAATCCCAAGAGAGAATTGCTAGAGTGGTAAGAATGTCAAACAACTGCTAGAATCAGTCAATCATTGATGAAATATCAAACAAGCAAGAATTATTGTTTGTCAACCTAGTTGTCTCTATGTATTGTTGTATTTTTTGAAGTTCATTCGTAGATCTGGCTTGTTTTCGCTTGTGTAACTGCATAAATCTGTTTACTTCGTTGTTATCACATGTTCTGCTGTCATCGTTTGTCACGCATTGGCATTTGTCGATTTCATCTCACGAAATCTGTAGTGTTTTGTTTCTCTTGAAGTGATCTTGTGATAGATTCTCTTCAAAATGCGTTAAAACGTTGAAAGCAAGCTAGTGTAATTTTCTAACTCAGCAACATATTATTCATTATGGTTATTGAAATTAAGATTTATGCAAAGGGTCAAATGCAGATTCCATATTCGTTGTGCAAAGGGTAGAACGTGCAGAACATGTTTGAATGAAAACGAATCATGTTTTAAGTGTAAATTAATATGTGATTATACATGTGTATTTTTTCTTGTCCTTATTTTTCTATTGTATGTCTGATTTAATCAACAAAAATCCAGCTTAAGTAATTTTAAATTTTCTTCAACAGAAATGTGAGTTATGCCCTTCCAAAAGTGGTGCACTTAAGAGGACTGACAATGGAGGTGAGAATCACCTGTTTCATTTTACCCTGGTTTAAGATTTTTATTGTATTTTCCCAATGCTATTATTTCAAAAACAAAGTGAGTATGTCCGATAGGCCACTGGTCTAGTCTTACTGATTGTTATTTCAGTGCTACATGTATAGTAGGTACTAATTAATCAAAAGTAAATCTACTAGATATAAGATCAAGAAATGTTGTGATAAAATATGCCTCAGCAGTCAAAAAGTGCAGGGAGAGAGACTGAGAATATAATCTAGACTTAAGAGACAAGTTAGTCTGAAGATAGCATAGAAAAGGACTAAGTGACTGTCTAACATCATGAAATATGTTGCAGGCTGGGCTCATGTTGTATGTGCCTTGTACATACCTGAAGTTCGTTTTGGAAATGTTACGACAATGGAGCCAATTATTTTAGCGTCAGTTCCACATGAACGTTACCTTAAAGTAAGCTCTCTCTCCTAGAAATTGTTTTAACAGGACAACTGTTTTAGTACATGTATTTATGGCTCTTTTTATGGTACATTTTGGGTGATTCTTTTTGGTATTTTGACTGTATTTTATTTGAGTCAATAATTGTTTTTGGTATTCAGTTACATTGTATTCCTACTTATCTTGGTTATGTATTTTGTGTTAGATGTGTTACATTTGTGAAGAGAGAGGAAAAGAGAGCAAAACTGCACATGGTTGCTGTATGAACTGTAACAAGCAAGGTTGTCGTCAAACCTTTCATGTCACTTGGTAAATAATATTATGATGGTGATGATGATAACACATCAGTCAAAGTGAAATAGATGAGAAATTGTTATTGAGATGAATCCAGAAATTGCTGTTGACATTTAGTCCAACAATCTATTATAATAATACATGTACATAAGAATGCATGGACTTGATATCTTGTCTAACTTTTTCTGTAAAATATTATTCAATCAACAGTGCTCAAAGCTGTGGTTTTCTCTGTGAAGAAAACGATGGTCAGTCTGGTCCTACAGTAAAATATGTTGGTTACTGTCAGTTTCATTGGAATAGAAGAGTAAGTCTACTTTACCTTTTTTCCTGAATATCAAGCTGTATTCACTGCATGTATTCCTAAGCATGGATTACAAAAACAAATCATTCTTTTGAAAGTTTTTTGTAGTTTCCTGTAAACATTAGGCCTAAACACATAAAAGAACATGTATTTGTGTTTATGCAGTGTCAATAAAAATTATGATTTGTTTTTAAAGAACAAAGGTCTTCTTGATGTCAATAAAACACCAGATAAAGGAGTCAAGTTAAAGTTGGATAAAGATAAAGAGAAAAAGCCAAAACCCAGAACCAGTAGTGAAAGCTCAACTAGTTCTCTCCCAAATAAAGATAAAGTGGTTTCCAACAATGCCTTGCCAGTTGCTATAACTGATACCTTGGTCTCCTCTCCAAGCAGTGTAGCTGTTACTATGACTATGCCTAAGCCACGGGGTAGAAAACCAGCAACAGTGAAGACTCTTCCTTCTCCCTGTAACAATTTGTCTTCAAATGATGTTTCATTAAAGGCACAACATAGTACAGAAGTGAAAGGGTCTCCTTTGAATACAGCTTCTCCTAAGACTATCCCATCACCACCAGTTAAGGATACTCCTGCATCAGTGAATACAAGCACATTAGTAGATGTCATTACTGTTACCACCAACTCAGATATCTCTCCTGTACAAAACTCAAAGAACATTTTATCAACACCGCAGAGTTTAGCTAAACCAGTCTCGACACCATCCCCTGGTAATGCTGGCATACCAAAAACAACATCACAAGCAAAGCCTTTGGTGAAGTCAGGTCCTGTAAAAAAGCCAGCTAATGAGGTAAAACAAGCTGCTAAGAAAAGACCCAGTTCTAAGTCTGGTGATGAACCAAAAAGAAAAGTCGGACGTCCACTAAAACACAAGACTGGTGACTCTAAACCTAGGACTGCTTCAAAGCCTGCTAAACCAAGATCCCAGAGTAAAAGTAAAGAGACAAGAAGTCCTTCAATCTCTTCACAAAGAACTACTCCAAGTCATTCTGTGTATAATAGTATAACAACATCAAGCCCTGTACCTATCCACACAAGTTTACCACTCAATCAAAGTACTGATCAATATGTTATTCCTCAACCAAGGCTTGCAGGACAACTAGAAAATGGTCATCGAATACAAGAACAAGCAAATAAGCATAGTAATGGACCACTGTAAGTCTAACAGTAAGCTTACTGCATGATTTCATTTCATTACTATTATAGGAAGGCTTTGATCTCCAATGTTCTTAGACAACAAATTGATATGCATGTTATTTAAGTCCAGGTAATTGTAAAATCATTGTAATGTTTTTTTTTGTTTAATAGCCAACTACCTAACAGTCTTGAGCAGTTGTTGGAATATCAGTGGGAACAAGGAGCACAGTTCCTAATGCAACAAGCCTCTCAGTATGATGGTATGTAAACCCACCAAACCAACCCTAATTTCATGGAGTAACACATAACATCAAGAAAATTGGCTGCATAGGCGTACATGGAACTAAATGTTTAAGTATTCCTTTACTCTATTCTAAATRTTAATGTAGTGAAATGTATTATATTCTTTCTAATAGTTGCATCATTAATGTCAAGCTTGCACCAACTCAAGGCTGATAACAGTCGTTTAGAAAACCGTTTAGAGTCACTTCTTTCAAGGAGAAGTCAACTTCTTCAAGTCAGCTCGAGATTATCAGCGTCAATGTCTTGTACACCAACTGGAACATTAACAACAACTACCAATACCTCAAATAAACAACCGGTAACCAGTAAAATAACAGCAACAACCATCTCAACAACTCAAATTACTAAAACAGTGGCAGTCACAAAGACAACTAACTCTGTAGCTAATGTAGACATTGCTTCTAAAGTTACTCCATCATTGCTACCATTAAACAATACATCTATTGAGAGTAAGTACTCTGCACTAAAAGGAAAGAATGATGTTGGTAAGTCTTCGCCAATAAAATTGACTACAGCTGTTACAAGTGGAAGTTTATTATCAAGTCAAACACCAGCTATACAAAAAGTGGTTACACAAAAAACTGTTGCTGTTCAACCAAACCAAATAAAAATTACAATGGTGCAGCCACATGCTCCAACATCAGAAAAGGACAAGCAGAAAACAACTACAGCTGCACCAATTGCAATATTACCAACAGCCCATACACTGCCCAGCCAATTTCTACAAAATCAACAGCTTCAAGTTTTACAGACACAAGCGAAAGCACCTCAAACTAATCAGGGTAAAACCCATAAGCAGCCTATTCTTCTACCACATCAAACTGTGACAAGCCAAACATTTACAACACAACCCTTTCCTCAGCAGCAACTTGTGCTGCTTATGCAACAACAACAGCAGCTTCAACAGCAGTTACAGCGACAAGTCACAGACCAGCGCTTAACAACTGGCCAGAACCAGTTGTCAGCAGCTCAAAATAAAAATGCTTCGACAACACAAAAGTTTATCCCATCAGCCATGCAGCTGGGTTATCCTGGAAATTTTGTTACTTTTAGTGAAGCATTAGCAGGACAACACATTGATGTCAGTAAAGCAGCTGCTTTTACTACATTACCTTTGGTGCAGTTGGACAAGTCTAAGGTTTGAGTTTTTGTTAGTGTTTCTCTTCACCTGTGTGTTTGGTGTACCTACCGATGGTACAGGGGTGATATCTTATGGGTGTACCTACAGATGATACAGGGGTGATATCTTATGGGTGTACCTACCGATGGTACAGGGGTAATATCTTAGGGGTGTACCTACAGATGGTGCAGGGGTGATATCTTAGGGGTGTACCTACAGATGATACAGGGGTGATATCTTAGGGGTGTACCTACCGATGGTACAGGGTGATATCTTAGTGGTGTACCTACCGATGGTACAGGGGTGATATCTTAGGGGTGTACCTACCGATGGTACAGGGGTGATATCTTAGGGGTGTACCTACTGATGGTACAGGGGTGATAACTTAGGGGTGTACCTACTGATGGTATAGGGGTGATATCTTAAGGATGAACCTACTGATGGTACATGGGTGATTGTGTTATTGTTTCATGGTAAAATACACTAATGCAACTTTCTTTTAATTAGGGAATGGATCTGGACAAAAATGGGGCAGCCTTAACTGGAGAAAAAGCAGGAAAGAAGTAATATGTGTGATATGAACTGCAACACTACAAAGAAAACTTTATCAACTTGAGAAAGACAATTCATATTTAGACTCAAATAGAAAGTTTTCTGTTTGTGGTATACCTAGAAGAACTTTTTTATTTAATATGGAACATTTTTATGGGTGTTTTACAGTCAAATGCAGTCACTCTCTTACATTGTTCAATACCTCCAATATTATTGTGTAGATTTTAACAAACGAATATTCCATTTGTAACTGCTGTTATACCAGTAGACATACGAAGACCAAGCAATTTCACAGAAAATCCAACTCTTTTGCTCCATAGGCAGTAAAGGCACTGTGTGACCCCACCTCTCATAATCCCACCTCCAAACAAAATATCTATATATATACATGTAACATTGTTTAAAATAATTACAACAGTGCCATTGATTTAGGACAGGTAGAGTCACATGGTGCCAGTGATCAACTAGGTCTAGGTTTCAATACCATCTTTCACTTTATTATGTGTCAAACTCTATGTGTGATCCTTTTCTCAGTAATGTATAGCCATCTTTATTACTGGTATGTCTCAAGGCTTCATTGAAGTCACTGCTTGAAAACCAATAAAACCTTTTTAAAATAGTGTCAACAATAGGTGATAGTATGGGCGTATAAGAGAAGGGGGCTCTCTGTTGTGGGGCAGATCTAGGGCCATACCCACAGAACAACCTGCTTAAATGACTACATGAGTTCCATGTGAGGATTGGTTGTAACAAAAAAGATTGGGAAGCTTCTGATAGTGGGACATTTAAAGAATTAAGGCCCGTTTACACTGGTGATTTTTGCAACAGTTTTTTCTGAAATTTTTCAGGCAGTTTTCAAAAATATAATAAATTTTATGTTATCCTTCTGAGGAGACGTTTAGTTAGCTCATCTCTTTGTACTGAATGAAAGTTCACAAGTTCATTCTTTAGCATTATTCTCTAGGATTAAAATGACCACAAAAATCACTGCTTAAATGATCATTATAAATGGGCCTTTATAAACCTGCATGAATGAGAGCCAACTGAGCCAGGTCTCTCACCGCTATGGTCCGGGTTCGATTCCCGGGCACGGACCATATGTGAGTTTGAGTTTGTTTGATGTGTTGTTCTCTCCCTTGCCACGAGGGTTTTTCTCCGGGTCCTCCGGTTTTCCTCCCTCAGTAAAAAATCAACATGTGAGGAGTGTTGTGTGCTAAAATACTTGATGTAGAGGTAGTGAGTGTGAGAGTACAGGCCCCCATTTAAACCAGCCTACGCTGAACTGGGTGGCCTGGTAAAATATCGATTATTTAGGCTGTAAAGTAAAAGTATGAATTTGTAGCACTTTATTTTTCACATTTGTTTCAGTACTTGACTGATTCTATTCATGCACCCAAAAACGCCAAATAATTTTTAAAAATACACTTTTTTACTCAATAATAATTTACACTGATTTGTAAGATTTGGAATAATTCTACAGGCTCTGATATAAAACAATGTTCTGTGATGTCCAGTTTCTTGATAACTGTAAATTTTATAAATTATGGATTTCTGTAATCACTTTGCATCTTGTGATTTCTTTTGTCTCATAAGCTCAACTAATGTTTTATAACGGGATATGCAATCCTCCTGTGAACAAATAAACATAAGTGTACGGTATATTATGTAATAACATTAAGTAAATTCAAAAACAACATTTTCAAGCGACACTGTAGTTATATAGTATACCATTATGTACAGGAATTAGTGCTCACCCAAGTGTATTGTCAGGAAAATGAATACAAATAGAAAAGGAATATGGAAAGTCTCGATGCATTTTTTTACTATCAAACATCCTGTTAATGCACTTGAATAACACAAACATGTAACAAAAATATTTAACTAGGTCCATGGGCTTTACCTTTGTCATCCCAGGAACACACCTTGCAATACATGTCCACCTGTCAGGGGTGGTCTTGGGATATTGTTGAAGTGCCATTTCAAGTAATTTTTGTTGGTTTTGTGTCCAAGCTACAACTGGACTCGCATTTGTTTCATCTGTATTGTTGTGGAGTGAGGATCCTGGATCAGCTTTTGTTACAATATCTTCGCTTACAGTTACAGCTTTACGACTGGTTACTAGTTTACCAGGAGCACCTGGGCCAACTTAAAAACAAAGACAGTTGGTTTTATAATAATGAAACAAAACAAAAAATAAATATGAGGGGACATCATTGTATGTGATATATCAGTTTCTAATAAAACAGTTGTAACAGCAAACCTTTGTGGGATATACACTTATTTCAAAAAACGTTGTCGGGGAGAACGGCGATTGTCGAAGGGAGAATGCACGACCGAAAGGGACTATGGTTACGCTGTTTGACATACAAAACATTCAATTGTTAGGTTTACTTGCATGAAAAAGGAGACTAAATGGAGCCAATGATGACCATAGGAAATCTTACGGTAAAAATTAGTCATTATTCCCCATCCATTAGCAAAACCCATGGCTCCTTTCCGCCGTGCAATCGCCGTTTGACATTCGCCATTCGCCATTTTATCCGACAACCTTTTTTGAAATAGGTATATATCTTGTGATGTATAATTTCAATAAAATGTCATGTAAAAGCCAAGGATATGAATGACCTTTTTCTCAATAAATATAAATGACATGAAGCCAGCTACCTGGATTAGTGGAAACTCCTTGTGTTTGTCGTATCTTCTTCATTTGTTTTGTAACCTGTAGAAGGTATTTATGAGCATCATACTTGTTTAAAGAGGTAATTCAGATTATTTTACCATTTCAACACTTTTTCCTAATTCTTGTGCAATCTTCACCCATCTCTTGGGTGTGCCTCCAGGGAATTTCACCATTGCTCTTGATAGACGTGAGAAATCTTCATCTGACCATTCTTCTGACTACAGATTCACAATAGATGATGCAATTATTAGTCTTTTCACTTAATGAAAATGTATTAGTTTAATTAATTAGCCTAATCTACTTACCTTGTACTTATCATCACTGTCTTCACTGTCATTCCCTGTGGGTTCAATCATGTTGGTAACTGGTACAGCAGCCCATGCTGAGTCATCATCATCCGGTAATGCTTCAGGTAATGTTACACGCTGTCTTCGTCGAGGACGAGGTTGTTCCACAGCTATCAAATATAATTTACATTATGGTCTTTGAGTGGAGGTTGACAGATAGCAACAGAATCATTAGTCAGCACAGCATTGCATCAATTTACCATTTTCCTTTTCCTCTTCTATCCTTTGTTGTTCCTCTTCTAGTTTTCTTCTGATCATTTCTTTCTGATATTCTTGGTAAGCTCGATATCGGCGAGGCAGTGATATCCAAAATGCAAATATGGATCTCCACAGTTTGAAAGGAAGTAAATCAAAGAACGTTGGCCTTTTGTATCCAGTTTCATGAACTGAAACAGGAAAGTTTTTAAACTATAATAATGTATACTTAAATAGCTACTAAGGGTGTTGTCTCAGTCTTTCTACTGTTTGATTCATTTACTTACCTTGACGAGTGTTGTGAGATGGGTTTAATTTTAGGTCGCTGCTGCACTTATTACTGGATCAGACAGCGTTTAAACACACTTAAAAAAACACTTACCTAATGCATCAGCTATTTCAGTTATGTTATCTTCAATGTTTTCTGCTTTTGCTTTTCTTTTTTTCTTTTCCTCTCTTTTCAGTTTAGAAGAAATAAGTTCCTCCTAAAACAAAAAAATATAATTCACAATCAATATAACATATGAAAGAGAATTAACTCAAACCATTTGAATTCATACCATTTCAAATTTCTTTTCCAAATACATGGACCAGATTACTATGAAGTGTCCAATAGTTGCAATAACAAATAACAGGATGAAAAATTCAAYAAAGCCCATCTTGCGCACACGACGATAATAGAAAACAGGCTGCCGCCAGTCTGGTAATCCATCTTGTAATATACCATCATATCTATTAATATTAGACATATCTTATTTGATTATTATTATTGCTATGTAATCAGTTACGTATATGGTTATAATGCTTACATAACTTTTTTATGTAGTAGAGTTGCTGCTGACCATGTCACAAAAAATGCTATGAAAAACCTCATGATAGAGTTCAAAGGAGGATAAACCCTCATATGAATCACAATCTATTCAGTGGTTGACCCATTTGGAAAAGCTGTGTAATGAAAATAATTTGTTTGAATGATCAAACTTTGTTCTCACCTTTTTCTTTTCTCTTCATCCCTTAATACTTCAGCTGCTGCAACCAGCTATAGCCAGAACCAGTAAGTATCAGTGTTAAAATCTAATATCAGTTTTAGACTCATAAAATGCTTATTTAGTGTCACCTGTCTAAATTTCACTTCTGCATCAGGTTCTTTATTTCTGTCAGGGTGCAGCTGTAATGACAGCTTTCTGTAGGCTCTTCTGATTTCTGCAGAGCTTGCAGACTAGTATAAAACAGAGAACAAAGTAATCTTATTTGTACGTTAAACAGAACTTCTACTACCACAATTGATTTCATACGTTTAGTTTCTGCGATAAAAATTACAATGTAGTAATGTAGCAGATTCAAGACAAGAAAAAGGAACAAATAATTACTAACATTTGATCTTTTATTGTCGACGTGTCTACATGGGCATCAATGTGATATAAGAACCTACCTGCTCCACTCCAAGAATTTTATAAAAATTATCTTTAAGTTCTTCTACAAGATCAAATAATTCAAGATCGATCTGATCCCATGATTTAACTACTGTGATACAGTTACAAAAAAGGCAGAGCAGATAAAACTTGTAAATTCCACTTAATTTGTCCGCCATCTTTAATTTCACTGTGTAACCAAGCCTGAATCGTTAAAAAAGAAACCGCTGCCTCGCGGTAGCGGCGAATGCAGACCATTCTCTTCTTTTTAATTCTCTTTTAAAGTAAATTAAATGCATGGCAACTTTTTTTTTTAAAAAATAGTGGGTCCATGTAAATTTACAGATGGACTGATAAATTTTTTAAATTTGATTTTAGAATTTTAGAAAAATTGATGAGAGTGAAATATGAACTGTCAGAAAAAGTGCGATATAAATTGCCAGTACATCAAGAAATTTCCGCATTATAAAGTTATAAGCATGACATATAAAGCAGTCACTGAAAGGTCCATAGTAAGCCACTATATGGGATTCCTGTGGGCTGTGATAATGTTCGAAATGTATAATGGGAAATTTAAAATGAGCGCGTGCGTAATTGTGTATTTATTACGTCACAATGAAAAATTTCCCGCCTTTTCAATGTGTTTGGGTAAAATGGAGGTTAGCATTTCAAACGTGAAGAAAGATGACTGAAAGTATGCAAATAAGGTAAGACTGTTTCAGTGACTTTTTAGGCTTACTAGGCATTCAAATTTTACTACTTATAAATTATAATACAGTTTTCAACGAGTGCTTATTTGGATCATAGCATATCATAGTGACGTGAGCTATGAATTTTTGCAGTTCATTGAGGCTGTGATAAAAGCTATCAGTACAACACATGCACAACTAAAGCTCGTTAACTTGTCAAACGTAACTCGTAAGACTCTTATTAACTAATAAGAAATACAGTAAAAAGATTAAAAAACACTAGGCAACTATTAGCTATCCACATTCCGATTATTGCCTATTGATAGCCACCAGTTGAAATTATGGTTATTTTAATCGTATAACACAGGCAACACATGCACCAATGATTATTGCCTGTTGATTGCCTGCCGTTGGAATAATGATTATTGTAATTGCAAGTCATAAATCGATGAATATTTACGATCCTCTTGAAACAAAGTGTCGTATAACACATGGACTTATTGCCTGTTGATTGTTTGTTTTTGAAATAGTGATTATTGTAATTGCAAATCATGAATCGTTTAGCCTGCGTACATCCGATGAGTAAACGCTGGATGAACTCAGGCTATGAATCGTTGTCCTTACGGTCCTCTTGAAACAAAGTATCGTATAACACATGCACAAACGATTATTGCCTGTTGATTGCCGGTGATCAATTGAAATAATGATTATTTTAATAACAAGTCATGAATCTTGTGTACTTAAGTTCCTTTTGAAAAAAAGTATCGTATAACACATGCACCAACGATTATTGCCTGTTGATTGCCAGTGATCAATTGAAGTAACGATTATTGTAATTGCAAGTCATAAATCGATGAGTACTTACGGTCCTCTTGAAACAAAGTATCGTATAACACATGCACAAACGATTATTGC